TGTTGTATATTTGCAATAGTGTCCGAAATCTGTTTTCTTTCCCCCTTTGTCTTATGGGTTATTGAGTGTAAATTGATCATGTGAAAAAAACTCTATGTAAAATTCCATCACAAGGCTGCAACATAAAGAATGGGTCTGAATACTTTCTGAATGCCCTGTACATATGACATTCTGCGGTTTCCACTAAAGTGTGGATTTTTGAGAATTCAAAGTAAATTTCAAATATTGGAGCTAAACGGAAAAATTGGAAGCATTTAATTAGCTATGTCCCAGATGAACACTTAAGTAAATTATTCTGAAAGTTGTCCCATACTTGTGTTATGTCTCTTGATTGCACTGGAATTTCCATTAAATTGCAATGCAATATACATTTTTCATAAAAATATTTTTTTTTCAGATTATCAGCAGACATTTTTCATGTTACTGTTACACTGCATCCAGGATGTATTTAAAAAGGCAGTCTATGCCTTATAATCATTTTATTATTATTTTATTATTTATATAGCGCCATCACATTCTGTAGCGCTGTACATTGGGATCTCATTGAGGTTCCCTAGTACTGTGTCTCCATTCCGTTTTCAACCATTTCTGTACGGTTTAACAGTGATGATCCGTTGATGCCCACAGCCCGGCCTCCCCTGGAGGTAGTGCTAAGATAAAGATTGCACACTTCCTTCAAGTCCTACAAATTTATACCAGCAATGGAGGGCTGTAATAGGCTGAAAGCAATCAGCTGGCACTGCCGCACTCAGGAAATCAGTCACCCATTGCATCTTAGGTTAATGCTGTGGGTTCTCATTGAGCATTACATGAACACTGTAGTTCTAGGAATACAAAATTGTATTCCTAACACTTCAGTGTCCCTCTGCCTCCACTGTGCCCCCCTCCCTCGCCAGCCTCCGCCATTTGTCATAAAGGGGTTAAATAACCCTTTAAAAAAATATTTGATATCAGCACAGAGGTCCCTTGGCACCAGTGTTAATTTTGGCGGCAAATTTAAATTTAGTTTTAGTTATCGTCTTTTGACTAAAAAGATATTTTAGCTTTAGCCTTAACCCCTTAGGGACACATGACATGTTTTTGGTCCTTAAGTGGTTAAAGGACCACTATAGTGCCAGGAAAACATACTCGTTTTCCTGGCACTAGAGTGCCCTGAGGGTGTCCCCACCCTCAGGGTCCCCCTCCCGCCGGGCTCTAGGGGGTGGAAGGGGTTAAACTTACCTCTTTCTCCAGCGCCGGGTGGGGAGCTCTCCTCCTCTCCGAATCCTCTCATCCTCGGCTGAATGCGCATGCGCAGCAAGAGCCGCGCGTGCATTCAGCCACTCATAGGAAAGCATTCACAATGCTTTCCTATGGACGCCGGCGTCTTCTCACTGTGATTTTCACAGTGAGAAGCACGCAAGCGCCTCTAGCGGCTGTCAGGGAGACAGCCACTATAGGCTGGATTAACCCTAATATAAACATAGCAGTTTCTCTGAAACTGCTATGTTTATAGAAAAAAGGGTTAATCCTAGCTGGACCTGGCACCCAGACCACGTCATTAAGTTGAAGTGGTCTGGGTGCCTATAGTGGTCCTTTAATTTAGTCATCTGAATTGTTTTAGTCGACTAAATCTCGAGTAGATTTTAGTCAACACTACTAAAATCTATTGGGTTTAGTTAAAGCCTCTACCTGTCTCTTTTGCCCCTTCCCCAGCCTCTCTGTGTCTCTTTGTGCTCTACAGCCCCTCTAGGTGTCTTTCTCTCAAGCCCTGGTCTGTCTCTTTTGGCCCTTCCAGAGCCCCTCTGTGCGGTGTTAATTTTGGTGGCAAATTTCATTTTAGTCATAGTTTTAAGACTAAAAAGCAGTTTTAGTCATATTAGTAATCCAAGTTGTTTTAGTCTAGTTTTTGTTGACTAAAATTTGACTAAAATTGTTTAACAAAATTAAAGGACAACTATAGTGCCAGGAAAACATACTCGTTTTCCTGGCACTATAGTGCCCTGAGGGTGCCCCCACCCTCAGGGACCCCCTCCCGCCGGGCTCTAGGTGGAGGAAGGGGTTAAATTTACCTCTTCAGCGGGGAGCTCTCCTCCTCCTCCTCTCCTCCTCTTCGGCCAGTCTCATAGGATAGCATTCATAATGCTTTTCTATGGACGCTTGCGTCTTCTCACTGTGATTTTTCACAGTGAGAAGCACGTAAACGCCTCTAGCAGCTGTCAATGAGACAGCCACTAGAGGCTTTAGAGGCTGGATTAACCTATTTATAAACATAGCAGTTTCTCTGAAACTGCTATGTTTATAAAAAAAAAAAGGGGGGTTAACCCTAGCTGGACCAGGCACCCAGACCACCTCATTAAGCTGAAGTGGTCTGGGTGCCTAGAGTGGTCCTTTAACATCGCATGGCAGGCTCCTACGATTTCAGCCACAGCCACTAGAGTCAGTCTTAACCATGTAATATAAACATTGCAGTTTTTTTGAGACTGCAGTGTTTTGCATTGCATTTAAAGGGACAGGGTCACTGCCAGTGGCGTACACATGACCCATGGGGCCCCGGTGCGAAAATTGATCCGTGGCCCCCCACCACCCCCGGCCCGAACACATGGCGGTGGGCACCTGGTCGCAGGGCTGCGACCCCTGCGACCGCGGTATGTACGCCAGTGCATGCAGATGCACACACACTTAAAGGACCACTATAGACACCCAGATCACATCAGCTCAATTAAGTGGTCTGGGTGTCAGGTCCCTCTAGTTTTAACCCTGCCTGCTGTAAACATAGCAGTTTTAGAGAAACTGCTATGTTTCCCTGAGGGTTAATCCAGCCTCTAGTGGCTGTCTCACTGACAGCCGCTAGAGGAGCACACTGAACGTCCATAGGAAAGCATTGAGTAATGCTTTACTATGAGCGGTTTGAATGCGTGTGCGGTGCGCATTCGGAGCTGAGAGGCTGAGGGATCCCCAGCGCCAAGGGAGTCCGGCTCTGGAGAAAGGTAAGTGCTGAAGAAACACACACACACACACACACACACACACACTCACCTACAGACGCATACACACTAGCTAACAGACACACACATTTACTGACAGAGTCACACTCAGTGACACATACATACACACTCACTTACAAAACATACACTCTCATTGACAAACACACACTAACAGACATCAAACAGACTCACTAACACACACAGACACACACAGTAACACACTCACTGACACTCACTAGCAGACACACACTCAAACACACACTCTAACACTCACACACTCTAACACTCACTCTAACACTCACACGTGTTTTTTTTTTTTATTTATTTGTTTTTTTTTTAATTTAATCCCCCCCAGCCTCCTTACCTTTTGGAGTGTTTGGATTCCCTGGGGTCCAGTGGTGCTGCTGGGCTCCTGGGCGGGTGGCCGGTTAGGCGGGCGCGCGAAGGAGCACTCTCTCCTGAGTGCTTACTCTTCAGCTCCCTTGCGGTCCGCGTAGGGATGCCGGCCCCGGAAGATGACGTTATCTTCCGGCTCCGGTATCAGTGCGGTGCGCGAGGGAGTTGAAGACGAAGCACTCAGGAGAGAGTGCTCCCTCGCGCGCCCGCCTGCCGGGTGACACAAGGGCCAGCCTTGGGGGGCCCTGGGGAGGCAGGCTCATGGGCTCCCCAGGAGAAGAGGCTGGCCCAGTGGGTACATGCAGGGGCGGCCGGGCCCCATGGTGGGCCGGGCCCGGTCGCAGCCGCGACCCCTGCGACGCTGGTATGTACCCACTGGTCACTGCACTCAGACCACTTAAATGAAATGAAGCGGTCTGGGAGCCTATAGTGTCCCTTGAAACCATTAAAAATGATTTATCACTGAACAGAACGGTGCCAGAGGACTCCAGGCACTATCAACACTTCAGTGCCTACAATGTCCCACATATGTGTGTGTAAAATATATATATAATGTTTCAATTAAAATTATAGTACAATAATTGCCTCAGTTATAACACAATACCTGTCAGAAATGAATACCAGGGACCATAATTGTTGTGTTTGTATTTTGGGGATGTCATTTTTGTATCTCTTTACTGTCCAACTCTCAATCAACCTTTATCTGGCTGTCTGCAGTGTACAAAAAGCTGCAATGTGAGAATACAAAAAAATTGCATTTGTGCTAGTTTATTCTGAAGTATTAAGCCTGTTTAGACTAAGTGGTATATTCACTAAAACGCAAATTGTGAATGCAAAACCAAGTTTCAAAACGTAGGCAGCAATAGCTGCTTATGAAAAACTATCCCACTCTGACTGAATTTTGAAATTCTGTTTCCCAATCTATTACTATTTGCTGACTAATAAAGAAAAAAACACTTATTTATTTATTTGTGAAAGACCCATAGAATAACACTTTCACAATCAAAATCATATTAATATAAATATATAAATATATTAATATGATTTTGTTTGTGAAAGTGTTATTCTATGGGTCTTTCACAAATATATAAAGTGTGTGTGTGTATATGTGTGTGTGTATATATATATATATATATATATATATATATATAATAATCTGATATTCCCCATGCATCATTTTCTCTCTATCACAGTATAATTGATCCTAACCTTTTACATAAACTATCATTACAGGTGAAGACTGCAAGGTTCTTATTCTTCTAACACAGATTAAAAAATCAGAAAATGTGTGCATCTTGCAAAGCTGTACTTTCCATTTACACTATATTAAGCCAGGGATGATGTGACTTGTAGTCAGCTGGTTCACCCATCCTGATTTACAAAGTAACTACACTAACAAACTCTTAGAAAAAGTACCATTACGGTGTTCTGTAAAAAAAAAATCAAATGATAATTTAAAATATATATATATATTTTTCAATCATACAAGGCGGCGTTAGGACCCAGGGAATTCCTCAGGGAACAGCCGCCTGTTGCCTTTGCTGCCCCTCACCAAATAGGGAAGTGGAGTTTGGTGAGTCAGACCCCTATCAGCCTCCCTGATTACTATTCATGAGCTTTTTATCCTGCCCAGAAACACCCCAGGAGGAGCAATAGGAGGGGGTAGAGGGTAGAGCAGCCATTTTTGAAGGAACTGACTCCATGGAAGTTTGCTGATGTGAACTAACTTTCCCCTCTTTTTTCCCTTTTATGATCTGTGTTAATTCCCTTCCTTCTATTTATCTCCAATCTTGATACATTGTATCAGATCTTGAACTCTCGACACAATGAGTGCCAAAGACACATCAGCCCCTGTAGAGAAGTACAAGCTGGTTGTGGTTGGAGGAGGAGGAGTGGGCAAAAGTGCTTTAACAATCCAGTTTATCCAGGTAAGTTCTGGGGTCTTAATGGTAAGTGGCTGGATTCTGTTTTTGGAGTCTTGAGTATATATTTTGGGGGATAGTAGAGTTAAGATGCTCAGTTTAACCATTTGATCACCAGGTTGTGCCTGACGCATTGCTTTTACAATCTGGTGAGTAACTCCTGGCACTCAAGGGGTTAAATCGCCCCAAACTAATCTTGGGGAGCATCACGGTTACCATTCGCCTGTTTTAATATCTCCAAGGGTCGTGTTTTTCTTTGTTTTTGTTTTCATTGTATTTTTGTACAGAATTGCCGGATTAGGAAAATGTTAGTGACAAAGGGTTTTAAACGTGTCCTGGGGGTTAGTCTGTGTTAACGCTGTCTGTGCTGGACCATTCAGAGGGGATTGGGAGAATGAAGTGCTGGGTACATTGTGTGATCTTTGCTGGGTATACATGGGCGATCTAGGAGTGTGGAGCAATGTAGGTAAATCTGGTCCATGCACCCCACCCAAATAGTTTCATTGTTGACCCTTTCAGTGCTGCGAGAAAAGGGAAGGAGGGCATGGTTATTACTGTAAGAACACATTATACTTATTTTCGTTACTGCCCCCTCCCCCCCCAAAAAAAACCAAACAAACCGTAAAGTTCATAATTTATTTCCTCAGAAATTAATGTGTAGTGTGAAAAATATTAATTTTATAAATATTATGCTTAAAATGAAGGGAGGAGGGGAGGGACGACAACAGTAAGCACAAAGACTGTAAGTAAGGCATGGGGAGGCAAGTCTTCATCCATTTGTCATTGAACTGTAGCTCCTTTGATGTTTTGTATGACATGCTTAAAATATCAGTGGACCACAGAGCTTACAGTCTAAAGTTAAAAACAAGCAAAGGTATTATTATTATTATTATTATTATTATTATTGCGCCAGCAAATTAATGTTGCAGTAAGTCATTATATTTTAATTGTTTTTGCAATTAATTACTTATGTACTCCATTTATAATCCTTGAATAACCCTCAAATCCTTCTTAATAACTTTCAATCACACACGAAGTAAAAATCATGCTATTGAATTGTAAATACACCCAGCAATTATTTTTTTTATATATAGATGACTTTCATATAACTGCTAGAATGTAAGCTGTTTGGGTTAGTGTGCTCTTACTTATTGCCTATATTGTACACATGCCTTCCCTGTTATTTTGTGTCTCACTGAAAAAACAATGATCGATCAATCAATTTGTAAAATACATTCAAGATAAATGAATATTGTAAGCTATAGCATACATTCCAAGTGTCCCTATTTAGGAAGGGCAGTCCCTATTTGGGCCCAAACCCTCTGTCCCGCTTTTCCATTCCAATGTCCCTCTTTTTTAGAAGCTCATTGATGTTTGAGTGTATAACAGAGCTCCACAGCAATACTACTCCTTGTGATGTGCATGTAAACTACCATAACTGTGTTTAGAAGTCAGTCTGTGTAAATAAGATACATTGTTCTTGTGCTAAATTACAGTTTAGGTGCAAAAATTGTAATTTATAACTTGCCTAAAATTTTTCAGAACAGTTGCACCCCAGTTCACACAACTAAAATGGGGGTGTCCCTCTTTATAAATTTAAAATGTTGGGCGGTATGTCTAGAGGCTGGTGCTCCAACTGCTATGAATTGCAACTCTCATTATGCTCAGACTGGATCAAAGACATAACATCATTCATTGAACACCGTGACGCAATGGGAAAACCTATTGGTTGCAACTTGTTCCAGTTAATGAGAAAATGAATGGGAATTAGCCACAGACCCGTCATACATCCCCTGAAGTCTGCTTCTTATGGTAAATAAATGTCTTACCCAATTTAGTAATCTTTCTGCAAATCATTGTGTAATTAAACGAACAGCAGACATCCCTGTCATTTCACTTCCATACAAATTAACTTGTTTTGATTAAAAATTTTTTGCTAGGTTTGCAAGTTCCACTGTTCCTTGTCCATTTAATTATGACTGTTTGACTCCGCGCTGTTGAGGACATAAAGGACAACTGTCACCTTAAAACAATATTTTAATAAAATAATCCTTTCTTCAAATATTAAATTGAATTTTTCTTATTTTTTTTTTTTATTGGAGTAAATGAAAAAACTACTCATCCCATATACATGCAGTGTTTGAAACGGGGTTAATCCCATAAGTGAACAGCCAAACTGGAAATGTTTGCTTGGTCAGCTATACATTCAGTTTGGCTACTCTGGTCTAAAATTCGAAATTCACTTTGAATCTTTACTTCAGTAAATAACCCTGTTAGTCTCTATGGAGGTAATGCAAAAACCATAGAGTCTTAACTGTTGGCTTTCAAACACGGTCTGAACCAAGGTGCATATATAGCATTCAATTATTCCGTCATAGCCTGAAGGTAGGGATGAGTTGTTTTTTTGTTTATTTTATTTTTTTTAAATCCATTTCCTTTTTAAACTTGACGGAAAGAATATTCTGTTTAAAAAAGTTAGAGGTGACATTTGTCCTTTTAGGTTTCTGCTGAAGAACATAGACGTTGTAATCCTTAAAAGGTCCCTAAAGGTTAGCTGTGACCAGGTTGAAACCCCCGTAATTTGTCTTGATTTCTGGTGTATTGCAGAATAGTCCAAGGCAGTGTTAATGCCAGAGGGAGTGTTTTATTCAATGATTACATTTTATAATCTGCAGATTGCGCAAGGTGTGCCCGAGGCAGCCTCTCCACTCTGCTGATTAATGTTCTTTCAGCGTTGCTCATTAACCCCTTATCTGAATCAGGTGAAACAGTTCAATTCAGCATTTCCGTCGTCTTTTCATAAAAACTTTTTTATTTTTAATAATCTTAAAAATAAATATAAAAATATATATTTAAACTGCATTTTATTTGAGGGTTCTGTCAACTGGCTAATTTGGCTATTTCCTATGGTCTACCTTTTTGTGGTTGATTCACTACACCTTATTTTTGGACTAAGTGGGCTTAAAATGTGAAAAGCTGAGGTTTTTCACCCCAGGTATTTACAAAAATAAAAAAAATCCCCACACACCTGCATAAAAGAGGTGCATGTTGGATAGGATTGCCATTTTGGCGGAGGCTTATATGAATTCTTTTTGTCTCACAATCTTGCTTCCTGGCAGAAAGTGAAATCCACCATTGTGAAATCAATTAACAAAACAGACACTATCCAAATAGAATTGTTAACATTAGTTAATTTAGAACCTACATTTCACATTCGTGCTGATCAGCACTTCATGGTGTGTCATACAGAATGAAGATTTAAAGGGATACTATAGGCACCCAGACCACTTCATCTCATTAAAGTGGTCTGAGCGCAATGTACCTGTCCCACTTAGTCCTGTTATGTAAATCCTTGCAGCTTTTGAGGATTATCCTGTTGTGTCTAAGGTGTTTTTAGAAAGGAAAAAACATGTTAGACACAACAGGGTAATCTCTAAAGCCTGGACTGGTAGGGAGGTACTTGAGGACTGGTTTGGGAACCACTAGTGTAAGTAATATAACTTTGTACTCCTTACACTATAGAATCCCTTTAAGTTTCAAAAAGCAACATATTTTAAACCCTATATACCGTATTCAGTGGAGTCTAATACAGCATTTGAAGCTCTCATGAATGGATTAATTTGGGGTTTCTGCTGCCAAATCATTTCCTGATTGCCAGTGGCCTTGCATTTTTGGATGTCACACTTATTCCTGTGCGATGTTTTCCTCGAGTAAAATTCACAAGTCAATTCTTCCTTTTCACTTAGGAAATCCAAAGATTACAAGTGGTGTATTTTAATACATCCTCTGATTGCACTCATTGCTGGTGACATAGTCTGTAGTTGTCATGCATGATGCATATTTTTACGTCAACTGTCTGCTTGACATATACAGGTCTACCACCCCTTGCCCAGACCATTGACAGGGTCTTGCTTGAAGTAGACACAGAGAAACCATTAAAGTTGCCCTCGGAATTAGGAACAGAATAAATATTTTTTTTCAATTTATTTTTTTAGTCAAAGTTTGATATTATCTTTAAATGAATTCTGAAGTGTTTGTGTCTTTAACTTTCTTTTTTTATATTTTAAAGTGAGACTTATTTCCAAAATTCTCATTACACTTCTTACTGTACTTTATATTAGTATTATTTTTTTTTTTTTTATAGCATTTCAATGAAATGCAATTAATCTCTGGGTGTAATTCCGTCCATGTGTATTTATTTGTTTTTGCATACTTGTTGTTTTATAGAATATTTTTTTAGATCTCTGGTGATTTATGTGGACATTGGTGGTATGTTCACATGTAACATGAAATCCTGTGTGTGCAAATTCTACTGTATTTCCTGAGTAGTTCTATGTCACACAGTATATACTAGGATCCCGCATTCCAGTGCTGGGGAGGGGTGCGGTGTATATACAGGCTGTAGGCCAAAGATTTTGTTTCTTTTCAGTGGAGAAGTGGTTATAAAACAGCAGGCAACTTGGACGGTACTTATCTAGTGGCCCCACCCTAGACAGATCTGTTTCCTCAGGTGGTTATGCTTTAAGCAGCAGATTCTGTTTGCATTTCTTGCATCTTGCCAGTTAATAAATCCTGCAATCAGCAATTGATTACTCAGACCTCATGCTTAATCATTTGTTCATGATTGTTACTGCTCCACCTCAAATCTTAGTCAATCTCCTGTATAGACCTGATTATTTTTTTTTTTTAACCCCCTTCGGTCCCACAGTTAGACAAATCGTTTATTGTTGTGCCAGTCCCCACATGCTGTTTTTGATACCAAAAGGCTTAAACGTTTGCGCCAGGCACACCCAGTGCCAAATAGGTGTGCCTGACGCATTTGGCACTCCTGTAGCACTGTAAAGGGTAAAAAGGCATTCAGCGAGGGGCAAGCGGAATAGGGGCTAGGACAGGTGTTGGCCTTTCCAATGACTGGATATTTAATTGTTTATTGATGCTAACATGTACAGCAGTGCAGTTCAATGGGATTTGGTACCAATAAGTATCTTATTGGTGCAAATTTCAAAAAAGGGACAATTTATTTTATTTATCTTTAAAGTAACAGTCTCAAGGTGGAATTTTAATTTGAAACATATATAAAATGCTTCCTTCGGGTCTCTATTGGATACAATGAAGACCTCCAGTGGCCATACACTGCTTAATGATGACAGATCTGAACTGAGCATTTTTCGTAAGCATGTCAGATTAAAAAATAAAAAGGTGAGGAAGAGAAACTTACACATACCTTCCCCTATTACCATCAGTTTTGAGGTGTGGGCTTTCCCACTTTCTGTTAAATTCTATGTTTAAGAGTGACTAAAAATATCTTCTTCATTCAGTGTTTGCCTATTGTATGGCACAACCACTTTTTGCATTGCAACTCTTATTATCCACAGCTGGTCTGTTGAAGTTAAGTCTTTATTAGGTTTAAATACTCCTTTAAATATTATCTCAATGCGTTCAATAATGTTGCTAACTTACACCGCATCCCAAGCCACCTCTGGTATTGACGGCATGTCAGTGGATCCCAGAAGGTTGTAGTGGGTTTTATATCTTCTGCAAAACGTAAAAGAACACTGTAGGATCAGGAACACAAACATGTACTGGGCTGACCTCATCAGACGTGATTGTCTCTGCCAATCACAATGCTTTCACATAGGAAACATTGGATTGGCTGAGACTGTCAAGGAGGTAGATCAGGGACAGAGCCAGCTCAAGCCAAATACAGCCCTGGCCGATCAGCATCTCCTTATACAGATGCATTGAATCAATGCATCTCTGAGGAAAGTTCATTGTCTCCATGCAGAGGGTGGAGACACTGAATGTCAGTCACACTGTGCAGCACTGGCCCAGGAAGCACCTCTGGTGGCCAATTGAGGTATCTCTAGGCTGTAATGTAAACTCTACCTTTACTCAGAAAAGACAGTGTTTTCTGCAAAAAGCCTGAAGGTAATGATTCTACTCACCAAAACAGATACAATAAGCTGTATTTGTTCTGGTGACTATAGTGTCCCTTTAAAACAGGGATGTCTAAAATGTTGAAACCCAGATGTTGTAAAAATGTAACTCACATGATGCTTTAATAGCCTTTTGAATAGCCACGTTTAATTAAAATTGACATTCTCAAACATGTAAGTAATCTACCCTTTTGGGCACAACTGAGTTTAAAGACAACTGTTTTATTTTATTTTTTTCCTTTTCCACACTATTATTTACCGGTACTCTTATGACCATGGATTTTTCTATTTGACGTTTTTTTTACAGGCTGCATAATGTAAGAGCTTTCTAAACAAAATAAAACATTGATTTGGTTCCAAGAGACTAATCTATAATGCTTATTAATAGAGTGACTGGGATCTTTGATCTGTGTTTTAAACCATTTGTTAAGCACTTACATAAAATATTGTGCTTATTTTTGTACCCAAGGCCAGGCAGTGTAGCAGTTTTTTGGCCCTTTATCCTTACTTCAGTTTGCTAGCTGCCACCATAGATCATCAGATTGTAGCAATATTCCAGGTCCAATAAAAATAGTCTGCTATATTTTTAATGTAATAATCCTTTGAACAAGTATTGAAAGTTTTAAATGAGTTATATGTAAGACAGATAAGAAAACCTTTATTCCAACCTTTAGTACGTGACATATCCTTCAGTCATATACAGAAACCTTGGTCAGACCGGCTCTACGATCTTCCATGCTTCACTTCCTGCACATAAGCAGGGAAAACCATAGAGACTAACTGTCAGTGTTCAAACACTGTCCGACCCAAGGTGCATGCATATGGCTGAAGGATTCTGTCATATACGAACGGTTAGATTCATTTTTCAAATTGTTTTACATATACCCAATTTTTAATTTTTTTTTCCTAAATTCTATTTTCTTTCAATACTTGATGAAGTAAGTCGAGCATTGTTTAAGACAGACTGTGCAAGTTGATGAAGAATGTTGAGTTAGTCGAAATGAAGGAGCAGAGTTAGGGGAACCAGTGAACAACCAACATTAAAGCTTTCTACGTAGGATTATGTTTTCCATGAACCATGGGCAAGGTGGGTTTTGTCTTTTACAAAGGATGACTATATATTGATGGCAGGGATTCATAGCCTGGTTCAATTGACCTCTTTTTGGAAAGTCTTGTTTTCTTGACAATGAATGATTTTGGCAGGAACTGGGCTTTTTCAGGAACTCATCCCAAACTAAACTCTTATCTCAAGATTCACTTAAAGGGACAATCCACTGGACAAAATAAAAATCACTCATTAGTAGTTATACACCAAATTTTGTCATCGGGGATATATCCAGCGTCCGGTAAAACACCAAAGGAAAGCATTGATACAATGCATCCCAGTGGAGTGGTACTAATGCAAGTGCAGTGATTGCTGCCCATGCACATCAGATCGCCCCAGCTCGCTGACATTGGTGGAAGAGCAGAGGTGGAGCCAGACCCTGCACCGAGGGACATTGGAGTTGGATTCAGGTAAGTGACAAAAGGGTGTTTAACCCTTTCATCACTACTGGGGTGGAGGGTCCAGCCAATTGTGTATTCCTAATACTATCCACAGGAAAGGAATAGGATCACATGAGATTTTCTCGTAGGAGAAGACCATGTTTGGTGGTAAAATAAAAAAAAAATGTGAGTTTGAATTGCTCATCCCTTGTGATTAGAAGATAATCCCCAACATGCACCTGGTAAACACGTTCTGATGAAAAATAAATACACAATATGTTTGTTTAAATTTTGAGGCCAGCATGAGAAGTTCGTTTTGTAACTTTCCATTTTTTTCTAATTTTTTTTATTTTTTTGGGGGGCCCATTAGCTGTTTGATCCACATACCTATGGTGTAAGGAGTTTATAAGATGTTGAAATGTGTTGCAAAACTAAAACATCTGAATCCTTTTAAATTTCTTAACATAAGAAAGTGTGTGTATGATCAAATAAGATTTATGTAGTGTAGTTCATGTAAGAAAATAAATGTAAATGCACATTAAAATGTCATCCATATGACTTGTAGTCGGGTGCTTTTAATATTGAACGTGGTTGAAGCTTAAAGAAATGCTATAGGCACCCAGATCACTTCATGTCAATCCTATGGGAAAGCATTGGATAGGCTGAGATCAACAAGATTGATAATCTCAGCCAAGGTGGCTACACATCAGAAACCAGCATTGCGAGGAAGAAAGGAACATTATAATGTCAGGAATACAAAAATACTATAGTGCTGGAATGCAGTGCAGGCCCCGTCTTCATTGCTGAGGTTATAAATCTTGATGATCTCAGCCAAACCAAGGAAACTATTGCGCATGCGCAGCAAAATGCCAAGCTGCACCAATCAGCGTCTCCTCATACAAACGCAATGAATCAATGCATCTCTATGGGAAGCGTTCAGCCCAGTGCTGTACACTGCAGCACTGACACAAGAAGGACCTCTAGTGGCTGTCTGAGTGACTATGTTACCAGCCAGCAAAACCTGAAAAAGCAGTGTTTACAGTTCTAAAACTGCAAGTACATGCAATAGACACCAGAACCAGTACATTAAGCTATAGTGGTTCTGGTGACTACAGTGTCCCTTTAACCCTGGAAGCAGGGACCTGTTCACTTAAACCAGTCAACCTGGTCACTACCCCCCAGTTTGAGATTTCAGGTGGACGGTGGTGGGTTCTGCAGAAAATACCTAATGGGCCTCGATGGCCGTGGACCAGTGCTGGTAGGGGAGATCCTTTCATCTCCCCTGCCGGCCCATGCAGAGCCAGTCTGGATGTAGGCCCTCTTGGACATAATTATTATTTTTTTTTTTTAGTTTTTTTTTTTTTTTATAAACCGCCCTTTGTTCAAAAAACAAAACAAAAACAATTGCTGCACTGGTTGGCAGGAAGGAAATTTATGCCATCAACAAAGATACAAAAGTGGATGGTAGGTATTAAAAGGTGAACTACCCCTGACTTAAATAATGACTAGGGCACTATTAGCAATACATATTTGTATTCCTAATGCTATAGCGTTCCTTTTAAATGATTAGATACAAAATGGCACTGAAATGTGTTGTTACCAGGTTACTGATGAGGAAACACAGCAAAATACTTTTGGTGGTGCCAAACAAAAGTAGAATTGAACAGTTTGAAAAAATGTTTCGGGGAAGCTTTTGTAAAATTTACCTAAATTTCAGTGATGGCTGGTCCATAGGGAGAGGTGAGGCAGCACCTTGGTAAAAAATATTGCTAAAAGAAAATGTTTATTAAAAAATTTAATAAAGAATCAAAAAGTCTGTCATGATTATTACGGCAGTTTCCATCTCCTCTTTATTAATGAGTGGAGATGCTGCTGAGAGGCCAAGCAACTTATTCATGTAGACTTTATTTTTAATTTTTTTTTTTTTTTTTTTTACAAAAACCCCAATTAAGATTTCTGATATCAGAATCTTTATGAAATAAACATAACTCTGTGTTTGGAATTTCACTGAAATTGCAACCCAGTCAAGAGATAGACAGACAGATACTTAATCTCTCTCTGTATTTCACCTCGACCTGACTTTTTTTAGACTCAGGGTGGAAAGCATTGGATTGGCTGAGATCATCGAGATTGTTGATCTCGGCTATGGAAGCGGAACCATCCGTGAAGAGATGGGCACCGCATGGGAGAAAAGGCAAGTAATATCACCTTTCTCATGCGATCTAAGGGAGGCCGAGGACCTAAATGATTAGGTAAACACTATAGTGTTAGAAATACATGTTTGTTACTTAACATAAATGAAGTGCAATCAGGTAGTCCTTGGCAGTAAGAGCATATAGTGCCAGGTGGCTGGCTGTTGCTTAAAGTCAAACTGTCTCATTTTAGGTCAAAATAGGAGAATAAGACACGTAGCTGACTTGGAGATTTGTTTTTGGCAATTTCGTTATTATGGCATAAATGTGAAATTCACTGTGAATCCCTGACAATTCACACTTTAGTAAATAATTCTGAAGATATAGATGGAGCTTTGGCGGAACCACCGCCTGTTCGTGGGTTTTCCCTCTCTTTTACATGTATTCCCCCAGTATGTTCACTTATTGTGACCATTCATTCACCTCCCGAACGGTGACCGCCCCAATCCCTCATTTAGAATGTTAGGTTAGAATGTTCCCACCTCGCAACTTTGGTATCAAAACCGTAAGGGAAACAATTGAGTGCTTCCCTGGGTCGTCGCCGTTCGTATAAACGAACGTCATAAGGGAGAGCATTTGTGGATTGTTTCCCGCCTCATTTGTTTCCCGAACGACCTCCCCGGTGCCCTATTACAACTTTCACTCCAATTAATCAGAACGTTTGCACTCGCAACATAGGTGTGAATCCGCAAAGGAAGTCAATAATGGGTGCTTCCCTGGGTTGCTGACTATCCTTCCAGGGGGAGCATTCATACCCCGAACAGGGACGCTTCCCTTGTCTTGGTTTCACACCAGGACCTCGCAAACGGAGACTAGTCAATCAAGGGACCAAGGTGAGGGTCCCTGAGATTGGTGTGGGTACTTTTAGGGCACTGGCGAGTTTTGCAAGCTCTCATGGGCCTGAGGGACAAAGAGACTAGCTCTTTTCCCGTGGGCGAGCTTTTCTGTTGCCTGTGAGACAAAGGGACAGTCCCTTTTTCCCGTGCCAAGACTCCCAGTCACAGAAGCTCTTGGGAAGAAAACCCCTGGCGGTTGGTATGGGAAATCCTGTGGGTTTAGTGGCGGGCTTTGGGGACAAAGGGAGCAGTATACCTTCCCCGCACTAGCTCCCCAGGGAGGGAGAGGATCTTGGAATGTGTCCTTGCATGTTTGTACGGTAAACCTCTTGCATAGGGTTATGCATAAAAGCGGTGTGTGGCCAATAAAATTGTTGTACCTCCAGGAGTGTGTGTCGTCTAGTTACTGGGGGGGATGAAAATGGGTCTCCTTATGCCCTAACCGGTTCCCGGACGGCTAAAGTAAGGCAATTAGCGGCGGTAACCAGTTGGGTTACCCTAGGTCTGCTACCGGAGCTTACAAATGGCCTTACATATTCATGATAGACTTTCTTCCTTAAACCTATATATTCTACACTGAAAACCAAAGTATCGTCACAGGATAATTCATACAATTAGGAGTGTTTCACTTAACAGATTGACCAGGATTTCCCAAAGGGTCCTCAATTTGTGGATTGTAACCATTTATTTGCCAGGAGGTAAAGTCCAGAGACTTAATGTGGTCATTGTTCCCAGGAGACCAAACTATTCCATTTTATCTGCCTCCAGTCTCCAGACACCATGCAGAGATCCCCTGATTAACAGGATCAAGGCATTTTCTCTCCTTTCATCCTCCCTTCTCCTAACTTTTAAAGACTATTAATTAGGTGGTCTTTCCTCTCATTTAAAACTAACCTTTGCTGCCCATTCTCATTCCTGTGTTGCACTTAAGTGGTTACTTTAGAAGAAGAGGCTTTTAAGGGGTTTTAAACCTTATCCTTATCAGCTCTCTGATTTGTGTATCAGCTGATGGAAAAGCTGTTCACTTACAAGTCTTCTTATTTATATTGTGCACGTGAGTGCGGCTGAATTCCTGTTAACCCCACAATCTTACAGGTCACTGAAGAAGACTCCAGCTGGAGTTAAAACATGTTTGCTGCTAGACCAAAGTATTGTATCTGGGACTGTTTCTTATTTACCCTACTGTGTTTTATTTCGGCTTTGTGCCTAGTATATTTTACTATTTATAGACTGCTTATTGTCCCTGTTTTAATTGTTTATTTGTTTAATACATTTTGGATTCTGCACTTTGTATCCTGTGCTGCTCTCCTCAAGGATATCGTTTTAGCCTTTTTAGGCACCCCCCTGCAAATTATATAGAGCCTGTGAGTTTTATTCTACATACGGGGTCTATCATTATACATATATATACACATTTTGCACATGTTATGTTTTTTGTGGTTTTTAGATTGATCCCAAATTGTCACTTCGTTGACCGGTGCAGTATTTATTCTATCGTTTTACGTTTGGCTCCCTGGTTTTTCTTTAACCACTTGTATATATCTGACAAAAAAAAAGTAGCTTTTATGTGCACATTTGGAAACTCTTCTGGGTTCGGCATGTGATTCTGGCACATGTAGGTGACCCCTTCTTCAGTGAGAAGAAAAGGGAGGGGTACACACTCTGGTTGCTTACACATATTGTTTGTGCCCTCTATTTTGAAGTTTACTCCATCCTTTTGTAAGTGCTCCTGTCTATCGAAACAAACCAACCAAAAACATTATCAGCCATTCCGATTTCTGGGTTAATTGTTCTCTGGTGTGCTAATGTCTTGAATTTGCAGCACAATTAAGATTTTGGCTATTGCAAACAAATGGTAAAGGGGGTACTGCAATAGAGGAAGGTCAATTCCTAATTGATTCCCGGTCCACCTTTAAACGCTAAATTTGGCCCCGACTTGCGCCTTAATATGTAAGACACAAATAAAACCATTTGGAGCAACTTTAGTTTCTGCACAGAAACATTTCTCCGTGTCCTATTGTGACGCACAGTATCCCTTTTAATTCTGCTGATTATTAAGATGTATGTTCGTTAATCACATCAGTTGGATTCATATGTTGTAAACTAATAGGACTTAATGTTATATAAATTAAATTACAAAAAAAAAATCCAGCCACTAGCTAAAACAATCTAGGAAATAATCTTATTACTCACACACGTGATACATTAACGGACAATGCAGCAGCGGCAGGATGGGAAAGAGCGATTTCGAGAGCCTACTGGAATAAACATCGTTAAAAATGTAGTTCGTAGCATTCCATTTAGTTTAACTCTTTGTAGAGCCAGAATTGTTAGCAATGCGTTATGTGCTCAGTGTATTGACCGTCCTCTACGGATAAAACTAGAAGCACTCTAAGTACCATAACCACTACAGTTAATTGTTGTGGTTATCCTCTGAGCCCACGGTTGCATAGATAGCAGGTTGTTCATGGAAAGGAGAGGTCCATAGGTTTCTAACACCATAACCATTGTTATTTGATGTTACGAATGTGCTATTTTTCTATTCCTCTTCTTCTGTCTTTCTCGCTTGCCAGAGACTGTTTTCCTCTTGTGTTCCAAAGAAGCAGAACAGCATGATTTTGCCCTTCAGTATTTAAATGGTTACCCCAAGACCACTTGTGTGATTTGAAGTGGTTATGGTGCCTGGAGTCTGTAGCTGCAGCATTTCATTATGAAACACTACCCATACAAACTTTAAAGGACCACTCTAGGCACCCAGACCACTTCAGCTTAATGAAGTGGTCTGGGTGCCAGGTCCAGCTAGGGATAACCCATTTTTTCATAAACATAGCAGTTTCAGAGAAACTGCTATGTTTATGAATGGGTTAAGCCTTCCCCCTAATCCTCTAGTGGCTGTATCATTGACAGCCACTAGAGGCGCTTGCGTGCTTCTCACTGTGATTTTCACAGTGAGAGCACGCAAGCGTCCATAGGAAAGCATTGTAAATGCTTTCCTATGCACCGGCTGAATGCGCCGCATTCAGCCGACGGGGAGGGAGGATCGAGGAGGAGCTCTCCCCAGCGCTGGAAAAAGGTAAGTTTAACCCCTTTTCCCCTTTCCAGAGCCGGGCGGGAGGGGGTCCCTGAGGGTGGGGGCACCCTCAGGGCACTATAGTGCCAGGAAAACTAGTATGTTTTCCTGGCACTATAGTGGTCCTTTAACTCCTTAGCTGTGGTTGTTATGATACTTGGAGTAAACCATTAATCTAAATCTAAACACATTCATTGTATTTTAAAGACACATTATTGGGAGTATTATGGCTGTGGAGCTCTGTTTTGCACTAAGACACACCAACAATATGGAGCTCCTAAAAAAGAGGGACAGAGGTATTTGTCCCAAAATAAGGACTGTCCCTCCTTTAATTTTCCATATTTTGTACAGGTGGAACACAAATATCGCACATCAGTCTTGGTTATTTATTTTTATTTGCCTGAAAATAAAAAAAGCTCATAAATATTTATTCATTAAATGGTGAATTGTGTTGAGTTGAGAACTGCATAGCAAAAAATTTTTTTTTTGTGCAAATAAATTATTTTGGTCTAGTTTTTTTGCATTTAAATTCATTACCATTCACTGTTTCTTGTTTAAAGTATATACACCTTGTAGTCTTTTTTTGTTTTAAATTTGATACATTTAAATGGTTTTTAGCAACACATGTGGATATCCGAGTAATTTCTTGGTTGGTATGAAAATGTATGCTATGCCACTCTGCACCAGATGTATAAATGACAGAGCAGTCCTTCACCCCCCCCCGTCCTCCCCCCCCATACTCTGTGTATATATAAGCTCACCCCCAAAAGCTCAGTTCAATGCGCCATAGTGCCCCAGTGCAAAGCATTATGGGAGGAAATGGATATTCACGCATCTGTTTGAGTTGGCCATGTTTCTAGTCTTACTGCTATTTTAACCATACGAGATAATCTCACTGCCAGCCAAATGTGCAGCCACTGTATATAAGAAAACATTTCAAGTATGTAACCCCTTATCAAGGCCGGAATGACAATATTACTGTGTAGTTAGTCTGGCGGTACGTGGCCACTAGTACCCTAAACCCGGTTAAACAAAATATTTACGTATGCATTCACTCTGCAGCTGGATATTAAAACTCCACGTGGGTTATAGTAAAAAAAAAAAAAAATTTAAAAAATTATTCCAAATTTTGTAAAACATCACAGACAGGGAAAATTAAAGGTGGGGATACCAAAAATACCTTAAATCAGCATATTTTTGCTGTTAAGAATTTTATTTGCTAGTTTCTGTAACCAATGAACCCTCAGAGTCTCCATTCTGTTACAGAACTTCGATTGTGTTGACCCCTATACAACATTCTTCATCAAAGAACCCTATTTAACTAAAACTGCTCCCAGCTGTGGAATGATGTATTGTTCCTGTGGAGATCAATGAGGTCTTTCAGGTGAGTCACAAGATGACTCTGTGAAATTAAATTTTCACCTGTAGGGTGTGAACTGGAGTGAGCTATTGCAAAACAATACAGTGCTTTTCCAAACTAAATGGGGGGCCCGTGTGTACAGTGTGTTGTACTTGCAGTACAGAGCTGTAACGCAATACAAAAAAATGGCACAGAGCAGGGATATACTTTGCAAAATTCACCCTTGTGCTTTTGTGACTTGTTTAGAGTGATTCCTTCCACTTTTCTTTGTTGATCTCTGCACTTTCTCATAATTTATTTTCAGAACATATTCAATACCCAGGGTGGTCCACTTTTCTTCTAGATGGTCTGTCTGGAACTGTGGCTTTTTTGATTATTTCATTGGTCATTTCTGAACAAACCTATTGTAGTTTAAAGTTCTATCACTGTACATTTTATGGCTGTGGAACGTACATACATTTGTATACACACCCAAGATTCACTTTGAGGGAGGTATACAACAAGTATGTTTCTCCAAAGGCCACATATCCTGACATTAGGCCCAAAGCTTCGAAAAAACACTGGTAGGGATGGGATTTAGGTGGAACACTGCACGTTTTACATATGAGAAAAACTAAACAAAGAAGTGACCTACAATCTAAATACTCCTGTCTAGCATTAAAGTCACAGCCAGAAGCCAATTTCCATGACTTAAAATGATTTTCTTTTTCTCTTTCCTGGCTCGAGATTGCTTCTGGAATGAATGGCGTGCTCAGCCAGAGCACAGAATTTTTTCTTTTTTTTACCCACAGACTTAGCATGCCTACCACATAGTATATTGTTTCCTGTTCTATTTTGGTCTGTACCACAGATCTGAATTGTAGAGGAAGAATTACAAATGAATTTTTCCTATCGACAGACCCTGCCATTTCCAAGTGTGCTTGTTCCTCCCAAAGCATCCTTGATCTAATGACCTGATTCTTGCAGGCTGTGTCAGAGCTTCCTTTAATCACTAAGTGAACTGACTGTGCTCTTAAGACTCAAGTAGTTAAAGGGACATTTCAGCATGGTTTACAGCAATATTTTAGAATGCAAAAAGAAATATATAATATTTAAGATTTTCCCATGATAAGCCATGCTATAACAGTCAACTGCAGCACTTGTGTAGGTTAAAAGCTACTTGCGTAAAGAAAGCATAAGCCCCCTCTAAAATGACTACTCGAAATACATGTGAGCATAGCTCAATACCCAACTGACATTCAAGGTATCCTACAGTGCATTTGCAGAATATGTGCTCGTTTGAGCAGGGTCCTCAACTCAGTGGTGGATCCAGAGCCTGATCTCGGGATGGGCACTTGTAGATTATTTAAAGAAATATTCCAGGCACAATAACCACTACAGCTCAGTGTAGTAGTTATGGCACCCGTAGTGCCAGGATCCCATCCCAGAGTAAGTAGTCAAACCGTTTAAGAACAGTTTGACAACTTACCTGGGGTCTGCTGGGATATAGGGCATAGGAGCAGTGGTATGTGTTAGGGGTGAATTGTGTGTAAAAGGTGAAGTGTATGTCAGGGTTACAGTGTATGTGTGGGGCAGTGTGTGTGTGTGTGTATGTGTGTGTGTATGGGGGGCAGTGCGTGTGTGTGTGTGTATGGGGGGCAGTGTGTGTGTGTGTGTATGGGGGCAGTGTGTGTGTGTGTGTGTGTGTGTATGGGGGGCAGTGTGTGTGTGTAGTGTGTGTGTATGGGGGCAGTGTTTGTGGGGCAGTGTGTGTGTGTGTGTGGGGGGCAGCGTGTGTATGGGGGCAGTGTGTGTGTGTGCATGGGGGGCAGTGTGTGTTTGTGTGTGTGTATGGGGGCAGTGTGTGTTTTGGGGGCAGTGTTTGTGGGGCAGTGTGTATGGGGGCAGTGTGTGTATGGGGGCAGTGTGTGCATGGGGGGCAGTGTGTGTAGTGTGTATGAGGGGCTGTGTGTGTGTATGGGGGAAGGAGGGTAGGGAGGCTTTAAAAAAATTTTTTTTTTAATTAATAAAATATTCATTATGTCCCCCCTCCCTTCTTACCTTTACTGGGAGGAGGGGGGGGGGCATTTCTGGATCCCTGGTGGTTCCAGTGGTGGCGAGGTGAACTCTAGCCCGTGCTCCATGCTCGCGAGAGGAGGAGCTGCAGGCCGAGCTCCCGGGTCCTCTCTCCCTCCCATGCCAGCTGTCAGCACGGTGCCTGCGGACTGGGGAGGGAGATCTATCTCCCTCCCCGGTCGGCAGGCACATTGCAGGGCTGGCACTTGGACAATGCCAGTCCTGCATTAGCCGGCAAGGGAGAATCTCGGGGGGGTGGGGGGGCAATTGCCCCGTTGCGCCCCCCCGGATCTGCCACTGCCTCGACGACTCCTGTTGCTGTACGTCCAATTTGTTTTGTTGCAACTACTAGCTTTTAGTCCAGCTGTTGTACAGCGCTGCAGAATACGTTGGTGCTTTATAAATAATAGAATAATAATACATAGGACATTGTGGGGGTCCTGCTCTGCAGATAGATGCCTGTTTCCTATGATATGGCTGCCAGAGACCCGGCATAGTCAGTAGACCTCCAAGTCAAATGTACTACTTTTTATAAATATGTGAAAAAACAGACTGGCACTCAAAATACCTAATTTATTACAATGTAAAGGACAAATGGCATTCCTTAGCATCCATGTAATTGTACGTTAAGTAAAGAGGTGTTTGTTTACTTAATGGTCCCGTTCCCAGTCATTTACTTTAAGCAACTGGATGTCACTCTGGCCAGCAAACTATGGGAGTCATGTTCAAGTGTGTGTGTTTATTTTTTTTTTTTCTTTCTGCCATTTTATATATTACTCTCTTTTGATTTTTGTATTTGCTCCTTTTTGGGTAATGATTCACCAAATAAGACAGTAGGTGATAAAGACCAATAAAAAGGCTCGCTATAGACCCACTGCTGTCCTGACCCGTAAACAAAAGGCCCGGTGCAGACTGTATCTGCCAATTGGTTTAAGGTCTGCTTCAAAGTATCTGTGTCATCACATAGTTGCCTTCTCTTGAACTCTGATACAATTCAAACATCCTGCTATTTGCACGGTCAATAATTCTTGCTGTCTCTCAAAGTAGGAGGCTCAGAGTCTTGGAATACAGTTGGGGTCATATTTCCGGTCTGTTTACTGTCCCCAGTCTTCTAAGAATTGTAAAAATGCTAGGGACACAGGACCACCCACAGCACAGCAATAGTCCCTACTTGGTCTTAAAGGAGAAGATCACTTTTCTGGAAATTTATGGCATTGAATAAACCTGTGAAAATCGCCTGTAGCTCAAGTCAACCTTTTTTTCCTGTTGCCGTCACAATGCTCTGTGTTAATATGGGGGCCATCACATCAGCCCTATTGTCGTACAGTTTGTAGTATCGATCTGCCGTTTCTCTCACACCATTAATCGCACGCTGTAGATGTAAAGACATAACAGCACATTATGACCGCTGACTTACACTGACTCTCAGGTCCTGACAAGTTACCGGAGCTATACATTTCAGGCCGAGGCCTGCAGAATACGTCACCTGCAGATAATGTACTCTTTCGCCTTCCTTGAGGATACAAATGTGACCTAATACTGACTGCCTCATACCTTTTTTTTTTAAGGGGCAATTGAACACCTATAAATCACTTCAGCTTCCTGCTTTATGGGTGAGGAGTATCCCATTAAAAACGCATTTAATAAAAGTATTGTCTCTTTTATTAAATAGTGAAAGGTTTCCTTATGGCTTCTGTTAAAGGAACACTATGTATTCCTAACACTATGTTGTCCATCTGCCTCTGCGTGCCCCCCAATCATGAAAGTATTCACTTACCTGATTCCAGAGCTGTGGTCTCTCGGGATCCTCCTCCCACAACATCAGGCATCTGGGATTTGTCCGCCTTTTACCTAAAGTGGCCAGTCTGGTGAACAATGGTACCGGCTGGCTGACCACCCGCTCAGGAAGCTGTGTAGCCGGCTGCCCGGCGGGAGCATGGAGGCGGCTGGCTCAGGAAGCTGTTTAGCTGGTCGCCCGCGGGAGGTATGGAGGCGAAAGCTCAGCAAGCTGTGTAGCTGGCCAACCGGGGGGACATAGAGGTGGCTAACTCGGGGTGCTTTGTAGCCGGCCGCCTGTTATGGAGGCGGCAGGCTGGGGCAGCGTGCGAAGGAGCTGTCTTCCTGCAGCTCCTCTCTGCTCCCTCGCGCTGTGTAATGGAGCCGGAATATGACATAATTCCGGACCCGGCATGATTTCAGACAGTGCGAGGGAGCAGAGAGGAGCTGTAGGAAGATCACTGCTCCCTCGCACCCAGGAATATCAGCCCCACTGGGCCTCAGGGAAAGTCCACTCAGCTCTCTCAAAGGTAGGGAGGATGGGTGGATTAGACTTAAAAATATAAATGTGTAAGTGTTAGAGAAAGTGTGTCTGTGTATATATGTCTGTGTGTGTGTCTCTTTGAAAAGGCAGCGTTTACATTGAAAAAGGCTACAGGACAGGCTATAAGCACCAGAACAACTACATTAATCTGTAGTGGTTCTGGTGACTATATTGTCCCTTAAAAAAAACTGACTTTTTTTTTAGCTGGCTCCTAGATTCCAAACAAATTTGTCAAGCCCTGCCCTCAATTAATACATGCCAAAAAAATGCAGGTGTGTGTGTGTGTGTGTGTTCATTGGAGATATATCTACTAAACAGTCTTTTCCTTTAAAAAAAATTAAATTGCGGAGTGGTCCTTTAACAAACTGCGTAGTGATTTTCTTTTTCCCACCACTTCTTTAATAATCTTTTGCTCTACCAGGTAGCTCACTGCTCCAAGTACAGTATGAAAGGCTTGCGAAAATTAGTACTTGGTAAAATCCGCTCCGCTTTTCTTTTTCAGGTTTTTAGCCCTCAACCCCTCTGTTCCTGTATGTCCAACTTGTCTGGTTACAACTGCATGTCTGTTCGTCCACCCATTGTAAAGCGCTGCGGAATTTGATGGCGCACTATAAATATAATAATAACCGCAGTAAACATTCAGCAAATATGACAATTTTTTATCTGTAATACCGAGCTTTATACAATCTTTCTCTCCTTTTACTCTTCATATATTTTGATGGCATAGGCACCGAGGGAGATGGTACAGAAGCTTTGTTTATATACAAAAGAAGGTTATTTTGTATAAATGTGTTTTCTCTGCTATAATTATGGTTATCCTTCTGGTAGTACAGTGCATACTAACAGATCATTGCGTAGCCTATTTGTGCATACATGTGGGGTTAAACTTTGACTTCGACTTTATCATTTTAAATGTCCTTGATTTGTAAACTTGAAAAGACAATGAGTCTGTTATGTTTTGTATATTTTTTTTTATTTCCTCCATGTGCAATGTGCTGTTGAGTCCAAGATATGAACACGTTGCTGTTCTCGATTGTTAAAGGTGACAGAATTGACCGTTATTGTTGCACAGTGGTTACTGAATAAGATGCATTTTACAAAACATTGAATACCCTGAATGTGGCCCGTCTATAGCCCTCAGGGCCTGGTATTTCCTGTATTTGTCTGGCACTGTTTGTTTTTATTATTGAGAAGGCTCTGTGCCATTCAGAAACCTGGGCTAAACCTGTAGGATTTGTACCAGTTGGTGCTACCCACATAACTAACGGACATTGTGAAATTCTGTAGATAAATGCTATGCTGTATCTTGGCTATAAATACCAATGTCATAAAATTTAAAGGGGATTTATCGTTCAGCAATATGTTTATATCCTGTTTTATTCATCCTCTATATTTAACTGATATGGTTTGTTTGTGTTTTTTTGAGTACCTCCATCTTTGCTCCCCGTTATTCATTGTTTTACGCTCTGTCATTTTCTGTGACCATTTTCATTTTTCCTTTTGTTAATGACCACACACAAAGAGGCAGAAATTAAATGTTAGGCCCGTAGGATTGGGCTTGGAAATAGTATTAATTAAATGGGTGTAGACTAGGAGACAACACCTTAATTACATATACCATTATGTGCCTGTGCCCTAGAGACACTAGAATTCTAATGAATCCAAGCAATGAGCTAGTGACCTCTGAATTAAGGTAGAGAGCTGAGCCAACCTAGTGCTGTGATTATCTAGAATATGTTAAGAGTTCATCTAGGCTAGTAAACACTAGCCTTGAAACATGCTGCCCAAATGTTTTGCTATTACAGGACAGTTCTGATTTCAGGGTCCTGTCCTGCCATCCTACATTTTGTTCCCTGTTGTTCTGCATTCGGGGGCACCTGGGAGCTGTCCTTGTGCAGCCCAGAGCCAGCACTTCATTACATGCGCTTGTGCTGTGCAGCAGGCATTCGGACCATACACACAGGGCCTGATGGGAGTCTGTCTGTGAACCTGGCAGCCTTGATGCCAGCCTGACATGCCCTTCAGTGGGTGGACCTGCAAACCTTTCCCTAGGAAGGCCTGTCGTCCCATTCCCCTTCTTCCTGTTGCAAAATTTGGAGGTATGCATTGATTTTACAGTTTTCCTTTCCTTATGCACCCCTGTATCTTCATGCTTATCTTCAGGTCTTCACCCTTGACTTTTTATCTTTTTTATTTATTTTTTTTTTTTTTATCTTTTCTTCCTTGCGCTGGATCTCAATGTCTGTGTGCAACCATTTTGTTCTTTAGCGCCCATGTCGTCTGCAGTTTGCACTTTTGTTGGATTCATTTTACTGATCGATTGTGGGTAAATTCTGATTGGCACTTCAACCCGAACCTTTCTTCGAGCTTAATTCCTTGTCACGTTTTCTCAACTTGACTGCTATACATGTGGGGGGAAAAAAAGTAGTTCTTGTATTTCTGTATGTATTCTCTGAAAACTAGAGAGCTTAGGAAACACAAAGAGTTATATAGAAGCAGATTAGATAACGGTTATTCATAGTGACAGAACTGCCATGTTGGATTTAGGCCGTGTCCACCTGCAATCCCGGTTGGATCGTGATTAACTTTTATACAGTACACAATTATCTCCTCTATCTGTGTGTGTATTCTAAAACATGTGTTTATGATAAGGCTTATAATGTTTGAGTTTAGAATGTCAATTACTGAGCTTCTAGCCAAGGGGAAGACAGTAAGTCCTATCAGCACTATCTTGGCAGCTGTGAGTGTCACACAGGGAAGTTGCTGTGTGATGGTATATTTGTCTTTTCAATGGGTGAAAATAGCTGTGGGGTTTCAGTAACAAGGGTGTGTTGTATTAGATTCTCTGTGTGAAACAGGCCCCGGGCAGTTCTGTCTGTTAGTCTGTGTGAATCTGATAGAACTATCTGTTTGTCAGAGATTGAGGTCATTCTGCTAAAGATACAGGACTGCAACATTTACCCAGAGAGCAAGTCGCAAAAACAATAAGTAATTAAACACACGGATAATACAATCCATTGAAATGTATTACTTCTGTAAATGTACTGTGAAGCTCCTTCCTGAATTGTTGCATTTCTGTGATAACCACGCAGTTCGTTTTGTTGTATGTTGAAGCTGTTTTAAGGATTGGCCCTAACTCTTGGTTAATTTTTATTTGTAATTTAAGGATGCTACATTTTATTTTTCTAGGGTTTAGGTTTTTGTTTTGTTTTTTATCCACTTTCTTTAGAAATGTTTCCAAAGTTTCCAACTTTGTGCTCAGCTCATTCAGTTATTTAAATTAAAAGAAGCTACCATAAGCAGCTATTTGAGTATTTAAAACATATTTTTGTCCTAGAGGGTCCTTAGACCGCGCCTGGGTCCGTAGAGAACTCCCTGGTCCTCTCTCTTCCCTCTCCTCTCCACTCCCCACCCTACAGTCCTTCCACAAGCTTTTCTGTCCTTGGATGGTTCTAGAAACTAAGTAGGCTTACCTAGGAAGTTTTAAAGGGGGGGGGGGGAAAACTCATCATATCGGGGTCTTTCACATGATTATACAATCTTCCCAGGGTATGGACACGTGTTCCGCTAGAGCCAAGGGATCTTTCTGTCCTATATTTCTCTTCTACTAATTTTTTCGACTATACTTAAAAACAAAACAACAAATGAAAAATGTGGGTTTCATATAGGTATCGATAACAAGGTGTGTGAATATTCTAATGACGTGAATTAAAGATATGATGTTCTGTTTAACGACTATGAGTTGCACCTCTTGATGTCATATATTGTTTCATTCTTCGTTCCTGTGCCATGTGTATAGTGGTGTTCTGTAATGAGTATCACTTTGTTGTGCTATTTTTGACCAAAAATAAAGATATATTTAAAAAAAAAAAAAAACATATTTTTGGGTCGACAAATAGCTTACTGAAAATTGTGGGAAATGTAGTCCAAATGTGTAGCGTTAGCACTAGTGGTGATTATGATTCAAGCCAAATCAACCTGATAAATGTTTTTTTTTATTATCTCTTTCAGTCTTACTTTGTTTCTGACTATGATCCAACAATTGAAGACTCGTACACCAAAATCTGCAATATTGATGGGAAGCAAACCCGACTGGATAGTAAGTATCTGTTGCCCAGGAGTCCATGCATGATATGGTGAGGTTTCTTATAGGGCAATGTGTAAAAAATGTTAAAATTCCAAGAAATCATTGTAGACCATAGATGAGATATTTATTCATACATTATGTAACAAACCTTTAAAGGCCAGCATTCAGTTTTTTAGTTTTAGATATCAAGATAACCATATCGAGGTTTGCTTCACTAGCCAATATCCAAGTTCCATGCAGCTGTAAAAACACAGCACAAGAACTTAATGCGGGGCTTGACAAACTTGTTTGGAATCTAGGAGCCAGCTAAAAAAGTTAGGAGCCAGTTTCTTTTTTTTTTTTTTTTTTTTATGCTAACAAAGTTTAATTTTCAACAAGAAAAATGCAATTCTTAAAGGGACACTATAATCACCAGAACCACAATATATTAATGTAGTTGTTCTGGTACCCTCTAGCCTGTCCCTGTAACCTTTTCAATGCTAAAACTACCTTTTCTGAGAAAAGGCAGTGTTAACATTGCTGCCTAGTAACACCTCTGGTGACAGTTACTCAGGTGGCCACTAGAGAGTCCTGTGTGCAGTACCTATGTTCAGTGTCTCCAAGCTCTGCATGGAGGCGCTGAATGTTACCCATAGAGAACATGCACAATATCCTCACAATACTTTCCTATGGGAAAGCATTGGCTTAGCTGAGATCATACAGATTGACCGGCTGCTGAGTGGATCTTTCCTTGGGGTCCAGTGGGGCTGCTGTCTAATCTTCCTGCAGCTCCTCTCTGCTCTCTGTAGTGATGCCCGGGCCGGAATGGTGTCATATTCCGATTACCGGCATCACTAAACAGCGCACGAGGGAGCAGAGAGGAGCTGCAGAAAGATTACTGCTCCCTTTCGTGCTGCATCAGCCAGCCGCCTCCATGCTTACAACCGCAACCACCTGCACTGCACTCCCGGCCGGCTCCGTTTTTCCCTTTAGCTCAAGAGCTGACAAATCCCTGGCGCCCAAGCCCTGACTTACTGTAATAACTAATAACAACCGATGCCTAAAAACTACTTGCTTCATGGAATTAAGAGTACGGGGTAAGTACACGGACATCCGCTTAGCTTATTCCCTACTAATGGTGGGTCCTACATAAAGTTGCAGGAATAATTTGATGGTTCAACTTGGTGGCTTCTGGTTTGGCAACGTATTCGTGGATATCATGTTCAAGTTTCCTGGGCAGGAGACATGTAACTCTGCACACTCTCCACCAGTTCTGTCCCCATCCTACCTGATTTCAGGCTACCCACTTCCAGCAGGAGGAAGGTGGAAATTTCTGGGTCTGACACTCTACCAGTGTCATGAAATCCTTGCAGACTTAATGAACAATGGTGGAATCCTATACCAGGAGCTAATTTTCTTAAATGCCAGAATACTACTCTAGGGCTACGGTATTTACATGCAATTTTGTTTATTTAGTTTTTTTTCACTATTTGTATCTGTGTGTATTGTATTTGTGTGCAAATCAGACCATAATATGTTAGAGGTAGAAGGTGTATAATGTTACTTCTCTATGGGCACTAGATACCTGGGCTCAAGGTAAGCTCTCCTGCCTGGGTGTGGGCTATGACAAATCCTGCGGGAGTATTCCAGGAATCTGCAGAATGTGACACTGTGATCTTTGCAAACAGTGTCAGTCTACAGAAATGCAGAAACGTGAAGCAGAGGATGTTGGCCTTTTTTTATTTTATTTTTTCCTTTTACATTCAGATTGATTTCTCACTCAATGTAGTCATAATTAATTACTCAGATCGGATATATTAAAACAGATCTTTTTTTTTTTTTTTTCATTTTCTTATATAGCATCATACCAAACAAAAATAACAAGTTTTTAATAGAGGAAATAAAATGTAAGTTTCTCTTATCGGGTAATTACAGACAGGAAGCACTGTCCCTGGGACTGCCAACCTCTCGTTTAACATTCCCTGTAATTCCTAACAGCAGCACTGGCCTCTAGAACTCACTCACATACCCTGATGTCTCTAGTTGACCTTTGACTCATGACCATTGTTACCCACCAAGAAATCTAATCTTAACGAGGCAGTCTTAGTTGGGTGTCACATCCTGCCCATGATTAGTGAGATTTACACATCTGGGCTCAGCTATTTGCAGATGTCCTCATTAATTCAACCCCTTTTTCATTTATGGTATGCCAGGAGATACGAAAGGAAGAGAGCATCAAACGTTCTCTTCAGCTCCTTTTCTGGCATATCCGTAATGTGAGAGCGAATGAATTAAGGAGAGAAGCCTGGGCTAGTAGCTGGAGTAAATCCCAACCAAATTGATTATAGAAACCCTAACCCTCGCTCTAATCCTAAAATTATGTGATCTGAAAGATACAGAATGCTGACATATGTATGTTGGTGGAAATCATGCCATATTGGGGTTCTAGAGAGTTTAAAGTTAGTTTATTATGATGGTTCCAGAAACATTTCCTTTACTGTTTGTATAATGATACAAATAGAGCTATTCACTAAACTGAGAAACGTAAAAGTGAATTTCAAATTTAAGGCCCGAGTTGCCGAATTGACAGCATAGCTTACTTAGAGAATTCTTCCAGTTCGGCTCTTTTCCACTGACTTTGAAACGCGTGCACACACACGCACGTCTTTTTGTGTACAGCACTGTGGTTTTTAAAATGCATCACCGCAGGACATCATAACTGTGTGGTTACTTTTTGTAAGGGGAAGTATATCTTAACAAAATCATTTGCAGAAATGTTTCACTTCTGCTGCTATTATCATAATTAGACCTAACCGTCGTGTAAATGTCTCTTGGTCTATGGGAGCGTAGCAGTCTGTTCATTGTAGTTCTTTTCCCACCAATGGTGCTGATCACAGAGTGCAGCCGAACAGCAATTAGCGGATTAAACACATCCTGTTTATTCATTAATAACTGCAAATTTACATGCCTAACTAGTCAAACTAGAAAAATTATGCAAATCAATTATTTTCCTGCTCACCTTTTTTGACTTAAAATGTTAAAGGATCATTATAGGATCAGGAACACAAACATGTGTTCCTGACCCTATAGTGTTAAAACCACCATTTAGGTGGCTTGGCCCCCTATAAAAGTATAAAACTCACCTTATTTCCAGTGCCGTGCGGGTCCGCTGGCACGGGCCCCCGCTCCCTTTGTGACATCATCAAAATGGCAGATTTTTTTTAGCCAATCCAATGCTTTCCCATAGGAAAAGCATTGTTTGGCTAAAATCGACATGGGGGCAGGCCCAAATGCAGTTTTGGCCAATTAGGGGAACTATTATACTGAAGGGAACTATACTGACCAGAACAACTACATTAATCTGTGGTTGTTCTGGTGACCATAGTGTCCCTTTGAGTGCCATTGTCAGTTCTTCACCGCTCTCGCTCTTGATCCTATCTAATTATGTTTGAGATTCAGTCTTTAATGGGACCCTATAGCCACCATCACCACTTCAATTAGATGGTGTGGTTATGGTGCTTCTTATCTTCAATTGTTAGTCCAATAGTTTAGATTTAATAGCAACTGGCAGGCCAAAATTTTCATTTAGCTTTTTTTATTTATTTTTTTCCATGTTTGTTTTTTATTGAGTTTTTGCATGGTAAAAAGAATAGGGATACAGAAGGGAAAGTGGGATTGGGGGTGCTTATTTCCATGTTACCCATCACAATTGACAAATCGCAATATTACAATCTCATATACATTCGGTGCTAGACAGTATATACTGTTTATAATATGGATAAGGTGTGATGTGCATTATTGTTTAGACATTAGTGAAATGGTATCCTTGATGGTATTGTTGGTTGGCCCTCCCTTTAACAACTGAAAAGTATGGTGTCAGAACTTTTCTAGTGTGTTCGTTTTTGTATGCAGGAGCCATGCACCTGTTAGATTTGTGGAATTGTGGTGGGGTAGTAGGGGGTGGGGAGCGGGGGGAAACTAAAAAGTTCTAACTTGTTACTTAAGATGAACTCTTGATGAAATGTCTTCGGAAATATGCCTTATGTGTAGAATAGCCAACTAAGCTAGGATGGGGTTTTGTCCCTTGGTCCTGTATTTTCTGGGTATAGGTTGTGCGGGACTATGCCTGTGCCCACTAGGTGGTGTTTTTGAGGGTTTTTTACTGCCGTACGGGATGTGTGCCAGCTTGCCCATCTTTTGTCATATTTTTCTATTTGACCATTCATTCTATACGCCATTAATTCATAATCTGCTATGGAGTCCAATCTGTTCCATATCTCAGAGGGGGAGGGAGGGTGTTTCTTCTTCCACTGACTGGCTATGCTAGTTTTTGCAGCTGTTAACAGGTTTATAAGGACATAGCTAGTAGTGTCTGATAGCATTCTGGTGTACTTGGTCATTTCGCTTTTTTTATAGGTCAGAAAAGCACAACTGGCAAACAATACTTGGCAGTTGATACCAGTTTGACGGTTTTGACGTTTAATTTGCAGTTTTTCCTTGTTTTTACAATTCAGTGAATAAAATGCAGTTCCTGGAAATTGATGTATTTGTTATGCTCTTTCCTTGCTATTAGTTTTGGACACTGCGGGGCAAGAGGAGTTTGGTGCAATGAGGGAACAGTACATGCGCACAGGCGAGGGTTTCCTTCTTATCTACGCAATTAATGATCGAGGAAGGTATGTGGATTCAATTCGGTCTTAACGTGATGTAATCATTTATTTCAGCCCATGGTTTTTCTAATTTTTTTTTTTTTTCTTCAAGAAAATATTCTCTCTCTGCCTCCCTCCTCTCTCTGCCCCCTCCCCCCTCTCTCCTCTCTCTCTGCCCCCTCTCTGTCTGCCCCCCCCTCTCTCTCTGCCCCCCCTCTCTCTCTGCCCCCCCCTTCTCTTGGAGTGGAGCCAGCACAGTTTTCCCACCACATTAAGATTTGCTATATTGTGTTTTACTTACTCTAATCTATACAAGCACCATAACCGCTGTAGTTTGCCAAAATGGTGACATGGGTCCTCTGGCGCTGTCTCTGGATACAAGCAAAACTGGTTTCAAATGACTTGATAAGTATCTGGGTCCCCTCTTCAGATATCACTACCTTAGAGACATCCGTTCTGCCTGCCTTTTGTGGAAATGTATTATGACGAGAATGTTGGTTGACACTGTAGTGGTCATGATGCTTAGTGCCCCTTTAGCAAGCTGGTATACCTTTTTATATTATATTCTATCATATTACAATTGAAGTATGCGTAACTGAGATGCTCTAGTTGAATAATGGGTTGCCAAGCTTATGCCATGTACATTTTTTTTTTTTTTGTCAAAAAATGTGTTAAGAACCACCATTTAATGTATAGCTTTCCTTTTGTGTAGTCCTCCTTTATACTGTATGCTCTTATAAATGCTCTGTATGTTTCTCCCCCCAGTTTTAACGAAATCAGCAAGTTCCACACACAGATTCTCCGTGTCAAAGACCGAGATGAATTTCCAATGATTCTGGTTGGGAACAAAGCAGATTTGGATCTCCAGAGACAAGTGAGACCTATTCTAGAGCTTTGCAAACTAATCTTAGAACAGAATGCCTTCAAATATTTTATTTTTACGTATCGCTACTGGTACACAGGTGTCACAGTTTAAAAGCACTGAGCCACTGGTAAACTCCCCTGTGCCATCAAAGTAAGAATCAACAAGTTTTGTTGTGATCTTTCATTAAAACATTTGTGTCTTTTTAAATGGGTCAGCAGCATCAAGTAACACTGTAACATGCTGTGTAAAATGTGTGAGAGAACGGAGTATGTGCTAGTTAAACATTTTACTTTAAGAGTGCACATCAGACAATCTTAATCCAGATCAGATAGAATTGTATATACCCAGCAAGTGTTACTTTTCACTTGGTAACAGTTCCATTCTCTTTTACCCCAGAGTACTGAACTGAAGTGTTTACTAGGGTAAGGTCTGCAGCGGTGGTTGGCACAAAATACACCTGCCTCTCCTGTACTTTCAGACAATCTTGCGCCTATTTCTTCTTAATACAACAAATATGTGCACAATGTGGAAAATAGTGAATCCGAAGCTCTATACACCTCAAAGTGGTGTCCCCTCTACCACTTTAAAATCAACAGTATACATACAAAAACAAGATGGAGCTTCTTAAAATGGCAATGAAACAGATATTCTGGAAAATAAAATATAAACAATAGCGCAATACAGTAGTGCAAAGGAAATTGGAAATGTATATACAGTGGATTTTTCACTCACAAGCCTGGAGTCATAATCTCATATGACTCGGATGGTGTATGCCTTTGGACCATTTCAGGATGTCCAAATCCTTCTTATATATCCTCCAAATCCTTCTTATATAGCCCTATTTAAACCACAAATTGTTATATTTGAATTTATTTTAACATTTTTTATTATAAGTTTTTATTTTGAATAAAGCATCACCCTTTTGGAAATTTACCACTGACCTGGCACTTTTGTCTGTGAGTTGGTTAAAGGGGAAGCTAAACGGAATCCTGAAATGGTCCAAAGGCATACACCATCCGAGTCATATGAGATTATGACTCCAGGCTTGTGAGTGAAAAATCCACTGTATATACATTTCCAATTTCCTTTGCACTACTGTATTGCGCTATTGTTTATATTTTATTTTCCAGAATATCTGTTTCATTGCCATTTTAAGAAGCTCCATCTTGTTTTTGTATGTATACTATTTCTTCTTAAGATGGTTTTTTACGGCATGATTCTCTCCTTGTTTGCCATTACTGATCACATGATGCAAATAATTATTCGATATTGTGAATTTGCATTGAATGCCAAGCGGTGTCAGTAGTGTGTTGTATTCAATACAAGCCAAAATTGAAGTACATTCTATACTACACAGTGTCTATAGGTACCAGATTGTGATGCTTAAGGGATAATTGATGTGGTTCTTATTAAGGGGAAATGTACTATAATGTCAAAAGCTGGTGTTGCAAGTCTCTCTTGTCCACCACTCCTGATTATTAGTTAGTTTATTTTCAGGTTAATTTGTTCTAACTGTTAGTTTACCCAATTTCCTTCTTTTTCTTTAGGTGACCAAAGAGGAAGCCTTAAGCTTCGCACGGGAGAATCGGATCCCTTATATGGAGGCTTCTGCTAAACTGCGATTAAACGTGGATGAATCATTTCATGAACTTGTTCGAGCAATCAGGTAACTTTTCTTGTCTGTTCCCACATCCATGTGTAACAGGAAAAATAAGGTTCATTTTGATCAGGACTAACACATAGCATAGTAAACGTTAATTTACTAAACTGTGAATTGTGCTGTACTCTAAGCTGAATTGGCTTAATTGGTTAAAAACCGCTTGCAAAACCTGCAAATCTCATGTTTGCAGCCTTTACAAGCCCTCCCCTTCAAACTCCCTCCAGACTTTCTGTTGCTGTCCAATCACAGACTTCCCAATGCAGCTCAATGTGAAGTCTTTGCAAGGCAGATGCTCTTGATTTTAACTCTTCCAAATTAAAGTGGCTCATGGGTCATTCATATCCCCCCAGACTCTCTTGCTTTTAAATCTCCCCCATTTATTTATTTTTACCATATGATACTGGCATCTGATCTTTACCAGATGTGTTAATATTGGGTCCTTCACAAAAATGTGTGTGGAAAACTGTTATCAGTATTCACTTATACCTGAAATTGAGAAGAGAATTTCAAATTTTAAACCAAGATACCCTAGCTGTAAAAATCATGCATTTAGGGGAATAAAAAAACCTCATGGCTGATTTTTATCTAGATCTTTTACCGTTTCCTTATCTCCTAGATTCTCCATTTAGTGCATAACCCGACTTTTAGTGTTTAATCAAACGGCTCCGTATAGAGCAGAAACTTCACTGTCAACTGAATGACAATTTTATACAAAATAACTTTATTATTATGCTCCATCGAGAAAATAATAGAAATATCTGATTATTTGATAGATGCATTTTGAATACTTTACCAAGCAGGTGCAGTTAACCTACAAATGACTGATGTTAATTGAATTGAAAACACTTGTCACTAAGTAAATCAAACAGGATCTGTCTGCAAAAAAATAACTGCAGGTACAATATCGGCCACCTTTTCATATTAGGATTAGTTTGTTACATTCATTGGAATACTGTTGATTGTACCATCTTCTATAAAGAGCAATTACACAATGAAACCAGCTATACTCAATATGTCACTCGTGCCTCTGGTAATTCTCATCCGCTGCCTAGCACATCGCATGACACTTTATTTTTTTATTTTTTTAAAGGGACACTTTTTAAAGGGACACTTTTAGCAGTTTTGCATGTTACATACAGGCTATTACATGAAAACATATGCTCTACACACATTTACCCTGTCGTGTAAATATTTTTTTTTTTTTTTGGGCCATTTTTATAAGGAAGAATATTAAAGGGACACTAATCACCAAAACAACTTCAGTTTAAATGAAGCAGTTTTGGTGTATAGAACATGCCCCTGCAGTCTCACTGCTCAATCCTCTGCCATTTAGGAGTTCAATCACTTTGTTTATGCAGCCTTAGGCACACCTTCTTGCATGACAGAGCAAAGAGAGGAGGTAGCATTGTTATTTATGTTAAGTCCATAAAAGTTACTCCTTTTAAAAAACCATAACTCCCCTTCTGCCTTTGATTTCCTTTCTGGCACAATCAAGATCCATTTCAGTAAAGCGATTATTGTTGCTGGAATCTACCGCCAACCTAGCTCTCCGGTGCTCTCCCTTTCTGACATAACCTTAGTGAAACTGTAGCTCAAAACCCAAAAAGTGAACTGTTGGTTTTTGGAGATTTTAATATTGATTGGCTGAATCCTAAAAATAATAACTTATGTACGCTGTTTAAGACTTTGCAGCTAACCCAATTAATTTCCTCCCCAACTCGCATTAATATTAAAAGCCAGAACCATACCTTGGCTAGATTGGATTCTCTCCAGTTGTCCTGACAGAATCCAGGAGGCAGACGTTCTCCCTAACAGTTTCAGTGACCACTGTCTAGTGTACTGCATACACAACATAAAGGCCACTAAATCGCCTCCCAAGATTATAATCCCCAGGTCTTTCAAGAAATTTAACCTTAAATCCTTTTTAAACGATCTCAAGAACATACCATGGCAAAGATTAAGTCTAATCCCAGATCTAGGCTCTGCAATTGCATTTTTTCAGTCAGTGCTCGTGCTTGTTTGGAATCTGCATGCCCCTCTGCGTAAAGTGCGAATAAAAGGGACACACCTGCCCTGGGTTACAGCTGACCTCATTCAAATATACCAGTTAAGAGATTCACTGTGGTCAAAGCTCAAGCGTACTGGCTCCATGAACGATCACTGTACTTACAGACAATGGTGAAATGCATGCACAAAACAAACAAAAATGGCCCAATATTTCTGTGGAAATTTGAACAACCTTTCAAACTCAAGAAACTGTTGAAAATCATAAATAGCGTACAAACCCCCACAATCCACTCCCAACCCTCCACTGTCAAAATAGACAACCAAACACTTCAACACCCCCTAGATATAGCAAATGCATTTAATAATTATTTTGTTGGATGATAACAAATGACAATCATTTTCTGAACACAAAGATCAGGCCCTAGTAAATCTTCAAAATCCTCACATAGAGAAATTCAATTTTAGACCTGTGCCTGTTAGTTTCGTTAATAAACATCTTAATAATTTAAAAATGAAAAAACAGTGTGGACCAGATCAAATCCCAGCAATGTTGCTGAAACTCAGGGCGCCAGCAATTGCTAAACCTGTCACTACCTTTATCAATGAATCCCTGGTGTCTGGATACATACCCAAACTTTGGAAAACTGCAAAAGTAGTATCTATCAATAAGGTGGTGACAATACTTTGGTATCTTACTATCGCCCGATATCATTGCTCCCGGTATTGTCAGAAATCTTGGAAAAATTCGTCCACACGCAACTATATGAATATTATCAATGATCAAATTATCTGACCCCTGATCAATCAGGCTTTCGTCCAAATCACTCAACTTTGACTGCCCTCTTAAAGGTTTGCAATGACATCCAAATTGGCATGGAGCTATTTTCCTTCATTTTGCCAAGGCCTTTGACACAGTAGATGGCATTCTTTTGCAAAAATTTAAAAACTCAGGCATTGTCCGCTAACCTGGTTTTGATCATATGTTTCAGACCGATTGCAATATGTGGCTATTTCTGATAACTCCTCCCTCTTCCAGTCATGTGTGGTGTTCCCCAAGGCTCCATATTTGGCCCCCTGCTATTCACATTATTTATAAATGATCTGCCTAATGTCTGCAAATCCTCAACTGTACACATGTATGCAGACAACACTGTAATCTACTCTAGTAAACCCAGGTTACCGCAGCTTGAGGCTGTGCTCCAAAACCAATTCACAGAAGTAGAAAAGTGGATAGTGGATAACAAACTCTTCCTAAACACTGACAAAACAGGTACAATGATCTTTGGAACTGTACCGAAATTATGTAAAGTACAAAATCAACAACTATGTATCAGAACAAATTGAAATAGCACACTGACAGCAGTCTGTTCTTTTAAATATCTAGGTATGTTGCTAGACCCCAATCTAACCTTTGGCCTTCACATTGAAAAAATCTCTTCAAAACCTTACCCAAAACTAGGTGCCCTGTACAGAAACAAATCCTGCCTAAGCCCTACAGTAAGGAAACAGATACATAGTGTAACAAATGCTAATGCTGGTCATTGATTATGGTTATGTTTTCATGCTCCTGCATCGCAAACCTACCTTAATAAACGTAATACGTTATATAATTCATTCTGACACTTTGTACTAGAATGTAATTACTTTACCCACCATTGTGACATGTTAAAAGAGCTAAACTGGCTATCGCTGGAATCCCGACGCACTCTTCATCTTTCCAGCCTTGTGCATAAGAGCATTAATGGGAAGCTCCCACCCTACCGGAGTAGAATGCTCTCCTAGCTGTTCCCACCTCCTATAATCTCCAATCCAGTACCAGCAAGATATTTAGCATACCGCAATACAAAAATGTCTCGATCTTCATTTTCCTTCAGAGCACCGCAATTATGGAATAACCTCAGGGACACAGTCAAATCTTCATTCAATCTAAAATCTTTTAAGAGATCTATGGCAATATACCTCAGCACAGAATGCACCTGTCATGGCTGAATATATTTATCACCTGTTCTATGTTAAATTTCTGTGTGTGTGTGTGTGTGTGTGTGTGTATGTATGTATATTATTATAGTATTTTTTTTGTAATATTATATCCTATTGTAACTTTACAATGTTTTGTGAACCCAGGACATACTTGAAAATGAGAGAAATCTCAATGTATCCATCCTGGTTAAATATTTTATAAATAAATGTGACTTACATAGCCTTTCTAAACACTTCCTGTAAAGTGTCATCTAACTTCCTTTATTGTAAATTCTGATTAAAGGAGACTTTTTTATTTTATTTTTTTATTTTATTTTAAATCTCCTGCTCTGTAAATAGCTTGCTAGACCCTGCAGGAGCCCTTGTAATTAAAGCTCAAATTACAGAGCAGGCCATAAAATTTTAAATGAATCTTATTGAAAATGAAACCATTTTATTTGTTTATTCATGCAGACTGTGTCAGTCACATCCAGGGGATGTTTTGCCAGGGCTGCATAAGAGAATTGAGCAGTGAAACTTCAGAGGCATGATCTCTACAGAAAAACGGCTTTATTATCTAAAGTTGTTTTGGTAACTGTAGTGTCGCTTTAATACAATGCGTGATTTTTACATCTTTACTTCAGCTTCACGTGTAGCCATTTTGTGCACTTTCCACCAGTTTTATGATTTTTATTGTGTAGTGATTTAGTTTACAGTTGCAGTATAAATGGGAGGCATCTCGATGCCATCATCAGAAGAAACCCCTTCCCAATACAACCCAGTATGGCAGCTTCTAAGAAAGTAATATACTGGGTACTTTTACTCAAGTTGTCCTTGGGAGTGGGCTGAACCTGCATGTTGTTTTGGCCCCAAACCCTAAACAGACACATGGGAGATGAGGTGTGCCAAATCAATAAAACCATGGAAACCTACTTGCAAATAGTCTGGACTCAGTGGACCTTAGGTTCGTTGACTCACAAACAACCAGAGGACAGGTTAGTTCATTAATAATGTGTGCAATCAGTAATGTCTGCTCATACCAGCAGCTCCTTACCAGCAGCTATAGTGTCTCATCAAAAGAGCCCCATTACCCTGGAGGGGCATAGGGGAAGACAGACAAATTATAAATGTATAAACTGCAGTAAAATAATAGACAAAGCAGAAAAATGGGTATCCCTCAAGTAAAATGAGACGCTAAGCGCTAGTTGCAAACATGCATCAAAGAAAACATTACATTGCCCCAAGGCGCCTGAAACTCGAGAACCTAGTACTTTTATCATGAGCCTGGGTTAACGCGGTGATCAGAAGATTAATGCTAGACAGCTTGGATTTAATAAGCATTTAATAAGCCAAATGGAAAAATATAAACCTTTAACATGTCCCTTTTGTAATGGTCCAAATGGAAATAATAATAATAGTCTTGGAAAGTCAGATCTGGGAATGGTAAAGGTCTTTCTCTGCTTTGCAACTTGATGGATGGCTGAGCTCAGCCAATGATCAAGAAACACATGGCGAATTCAGAAATAAAAAGCTAATGCAATAGGTGGTAATTAAGAACGGTCTGTACTCCAGAGTTGCTTAAATGGTCAATAGAATTAAACTTGTAACGAGTTGCAGAATATACCGGTGCTATATAAATGCTCATATACACAAAACACTTTTAAATTAGATGTGTTCCTTTGAGATTTTCTAATTTCTAGACACCATTTTTCTTTTTTTAATTAAAAAAACAAAACAAAAAGAAAAAAAAAAACCCATTAACTTAACTTTGTCTTTATTACAATGGCTGGACAGACTCCTCACGGCGGCCCGGTCCTCCTGCGGTGAGGTTATCAAGCCTGATAATGGTTTTCAGTCTGATGGTTCTGATACTCATTGAGACGCGTTGGATGCACAGCAGCGTCTGGCAAACATACTTTGCATAGTGACGCAGGACGTCAAATGGATTCAATAATTGAACTTATTTCCATCTGAAACTACCAGCGTTTGCCAAAAAATCTCACTGTTTTATGTGCAAGGCTGCAAAGGCAGCATCTATGCCCTAAAAATAATTTTATCAAGGTGAAGTAATTTTGATGTTGACTCTGTCCCAGTAACGATGGCAGGTGTGATTAGAAGTAATAAAAAGAACCAAAAAAGGGTTAATTTCAAGTCATGTTTTTAAATTTTATTTTAATTTTTAACTTTATTTTTTGTGTATTAGGTGAGATAAGTGTCACACAAGATGTACTGTTTTGTATAGCTTTAGAAAGTAATGTTTTAGGGTGAGCTAATCAGCTTTTTGACTGGTGACTAATTTTGCTCCCAGAGTGAATGATCTGTATAGCATTAGCTCATTCAGTGCTTCATGGATTTAACTCCTTCTTGACATATGACGTGCTAGGACAATCCTGATCCAAAAGGATCTGCCCAACATTTGATCCTGCAGAGGTTAAAATTGAAATGATCTCATCTGAGGAAAAAAAAATAGGTCACAGCCATGTCAAGATCCATTTATCCTCCTTTTTATTTTTTTTTATTTTTTTAAATAAAAGCTCTCATGTGGCATTAACTCTTTCACTCACAGGTGACTTTAAACAGTAAAAATATATTTTTCACATTTTTTTTTTTTATCGAATTTGCATTTAATAAAACAATGTTTTTTGTTTACATGGTATTTATTAATTTAAAAAAAATTATATATAATTTTTTACATTTTTGTATTTTACTGCCCAACCTAACTTTCCTGATGCTGCATTTTCACACAGAGCAATCTCAATAGGCAAGTTAGGTTGAACAGCGTTTGGTCAGATAAAAGTAGACCCTGACCCTACATGGCTGGTCAGCTAAATAAAAATTAAAAAAATACATTTTCTTTAAAAAAATAAAAAAAACTCAAACATAATTTAAACAAAAATCATTAAGTGTCATTAAATGTAATACATGTTTTAAAGAGGAGAGAAGTGAAAATTTTGATGACGGTTTTCCTTTAAAGGCTTTTAAAAATGAGAAATAGCACGGTTTCTATTGAATGATGTCTTTCACATCCTTGAGTATTTAATAAAATAAAATTCACATTCACCATTTTGTTTATATATGTTTCAGTGCTTGAACATATATGGAATTTAATTTGCGAATGTTCAGCTTAAGCAGGCAGGGATGATTCAATTCTGAACTATTAACCCCTTAAGGACAGAGGAAATATTATGACCAAAACAAAACCTAGAATTTAAACTATATATCTGTCCAACCATAACTGACCTCTTTTATATTAAGTGCACCCACACATATTATATCTTTTTTTTTTTTTTCAGGAAAAACCAGGCTTTCATTGCACATCAAATATTTATATATGAAACCTAATTTAATATGGATAAAATCTAAAAAATATGTGAGAAATAAATTAATACATTTTATCTTTCAAGTTCTGCGTGGCATTTTCACTGAATGTCATAATACTGTTAGTTTGTTTACGGCAATAAAACACACATCTTTGTGTTCAGCAATGTCTCACAAGTAATAGACTACCCCCCGTGTACAGGTTTTATATGGTTTTGGAAAGTTACTGCGTCAAATATCAGGCTTTTCAATTTTTACACATTTTGCCAGATTAGTTTGTTGGGCCTATGTTGCATTTGAGACTGTATGGCAGCCCAAAACTAACAATTCGCTCCATGATGGCATACCATTTGCAAAAGTAGACAACACAGGGTATTGAAAATGGGGGTATGTCCAGTCTTTTATAGTAGCCACTTCGTGTTTTCGCATTTTTCAAACAAGGGCCACACTTTCACTGATGCTATCGTGGTCATACGTTTTACTGCTCTAAAACACTTATATTTATGTGTGCGTATTTGGGGGGGGGGAGGAAGGACCCAATCATTAGGGTGTGCTAGGCTGCCCGAACAGCATTAAAGACCTCCTTTTGTCCGACTGCACAGCACGTCCTAACGTCAGGAAGGGATCAAAGAGATTTTAAAAGAGAAACTGTGATGTTTATGTGTGTGATACTTTATAGTTTATTAACCCCTGTACACACTATTAATGTGCATGGCGTTGTGAAATAGCAGTCAGTCAGAACTATATAAAATTCTATTTTGAATTGTGTCCAAATTTTCCAGATCTATGTGTAATTCTGCTTATATTCCCTGATTCCCCAGTTATAGCAAGTTATGTGAACTGAGGGGAGACCAAGCTCTATTTACTTCAATGGTAAATACTTTCAGAATTTATCTACGAGATAATGGAGAGAGGTTTCCCCAAATGATACCGGAATCATGGGAATTGTAAATATATTTACATAGAATGCCCTGGCTGCACCTTCAGATGGCAGAAGTGGCAGTCATCTCAAGTCACTGTGTGATGATCGATGACTTACTCTTGATCACCTAACAGAGTGGCTCTGTCACATGGTTTGAGATGAACTGGGGCAAAGTGTTACGTGAGCTCATGTTTAAACGTGTTCTTGCTGCACTTAAAATGAGTTTATAGGGCATTTCAGACCAATCGCAAACCACTGAGCAATGCCTGTTTGGGCAGAACAGTCTGACCACCCTGCCAGGCAGTTTTTTTATCCTGGTTGGCACGCCTCCGTTATGGGCAAACCTATAATTAGTGATTAAAATTGCAACAACAAAAAAACAAGAATATGAGAACTCTGAAGACAAAAGCTTATAGAAACTCCGTAGCTTGCCCCTTTGGTAAATACCCACTCATACCTCAAAATAGTTTTTGCTCATTTGTGCATTACAGAGAGAACCTTCTCCGAAGCTTATCAGACTGATCCACCAGTAAGGGCAGTCCACAACCAAAATGCCAGCCAGTTTTCTCTGTATGAGAAATACAGCATCTCAAGACAATCATTTGGGCTTTGTCTTTAGGAGGCTCCTGCAGTGTCTAGAAGGTTATCAAGAGAGCAGGACATACATTCTAAAACCAGAGAGCTTTGACTTCTAGCAATATTAAATCATGGTTAACCTCTGTACAGAAATACTGTTCTATTTACACGTCTGGAGCTTATCACTAACCATAACCAGGACATGGCAATGTTAGCTGACTGATAGCCTTTCTGAATGGTAAAACCTATAAAATGTAATTTTATTTTTTGTCTCGTTGGTTTGTGTCATGTTTGTGTATGTACTTATGTGTAGTATATGTATATTTTGTATGTGTTTTTTAAATGCAGTCTTTTACAGTCTTGTAAGCGTGGATTTATTGGTTAGAACTTGTTCTTCAAACAGTCCTTTTTAAAAGAATATTGCCATTCCATTTTTTTACTTAAGTTGTACATAATATCGAAAACTTTAAAAAAAAAAAAATTACTTTTATTTTCTAGGAAATTCCAGGAGTTGGAGAGCCCCCCTACTCCGACTATGAACACCAAGAAGAAAGAACCCAAATCGTGCCCCTGCGTGATCCTGTAACAGATTGGTTTTGCAAGCCCAGGGGCCAGAAAATATGGCACAGAAATACAAAGGGGGAGCACGATGCGATAATTGAAAATCTGCTTTGTTCCTGTAGCCAAACTCCACGTTTACTGGCCCTCTTCAGCCAAGTGCAGTATGCAGAAACCTGGAAATCTTCATCTGAACAATTGCTTTTTCTTTTTTTTTTTTTCTTTGCTGTCACGTGATCACATGACCTGCCAGCATCTCCGTCCCCCACTGGCCCAGCCACGAGGGCCAGAGCCACATATAAAGACGGAATATTTTCCTTTGGGGACGGAGTTCTATATTTTTACTACTGCAGAAAAAAGGGCAGTTTGCACACTCTTAAATCATTAGTGCTGATGCTTCAGTGTTCCTGTGTACTGGGATCTGCATGTAAATATATATTCTGTATATATATTTTATATATATTTTATGTTCTCTTATTTTAGTATTTTATGAGCTGCTCATAAGCAAAGGGGTCTCATACATTTTAACTACACCAGCAAAGTACAACAATTTTTTTATTTTTTTTTGTGGGGGGAGAGGAGGTTGAAGTTTAATCACTTTTATACAATGAAGTTATTAATCTAAATATTGAATATACCGTTTAAGCTTTTGTTTTCTTGTTAAGTCTGCACTACAACGCGCCTTCTCTTTGCTAGCATGAGCCGCTATGGCCAATCAAGAGAATAATTGCAGCATTTTATGGCAGAAAACCAAGGTGGAGTTTTGCAGAGCTAGAATAATCCTTAATAACTGCTTTCACATTGGATGATAAAATAATTTCAGTCATTTTTGGAACAAATGTGTCGAACCCAGTCCTTAAGAGCCATGATCCTGCCAAAGTTCCGGGTTGTTTTACTTAACCGGTAATAAAATAACTAATATTGTGTATCACTGAACCATGCGCCAGGCGTTGGCCTTAAAACGCTTATTGTGTATCTGGAACCTTTGTGGTGGTCTGCAGTTGGACAGTACATTGCATTCACATGAAATGATGGATTGGTTCTTAGACAAAGTCACCCATAATATGGTACAGTGATGTTTTTAAGAATCACTTTTTGGTTGTACGACCAGTAAATGTATAGAAGTAGAGTTTATACTTTCCACATTTCGGGGTAGATCTGCTTCATGCGCATGCTTTTATTATCGGGAAACATTCAGCGCACTAAGCATGCATTGCATGTTACCCAACATGCTTTGCGTATTGGGCAAATTTAAAGACTTAAACACCCACCGTGCCTAGTGCGTATAAACTGATATAAGCAAATATATACATTGGCTAGAACTGTGTTTAGATTAATGGCTTGTTTAAAATGATTCACTTTATATGTAAAAGAAATTTGAGTGAAATGCTCAGTGAGCCTGATCCTGGTTTGCGCAATATTGGCAATAGGGGTAAAATTGTGAAGTCCCTAAATATTGAGCACTAGTCATCGATAGGTACTGGGTTAAGAATCAGTGCTATAATGGGTTCTGTTAATGTGTGTAATGGGAAAAATAAGTTTGGTGCATTTTGTATTTTATTTTTTTCCCAACGATTCTTCCTGTTCACCCACTTGCACAACCTAGGACACCACTCCATTAATTTAAGAAACCATTCAATAGGCGTCTCTACATGTATATATATTTTTTGTTTCTCTTTAACCTTAAAGCTGAACATGTATGACCACATTGCCTTAAGCAAGGACTTCCACTGGGAATTTTCCATGGTGAAGGTACACTTACACACTTAAGTAGTTTCTTTTTAGGATTATGCACAAAGCTAGGGATGATGGGAAATACAAACTGATTTGCATGAAATGCCAAGGCAGTGCCTTATCAGACAATAACTGTGATCCAAATACATAAATTGTTTGTATGTGTATCTACATATATATATATATGTATAGAGACTTCTTATGTGCAAGATTAGGGTGCAGAACATTTACTCCTCCTGCATGCAATGAGTTAAACAAGCCTTTATACAGAACAAATGATATGACCTAAAGACTGAGTTCTTGTGTAATGATCTCCCAACAGGTTTTCACCCCCTCCAGGCACCCATTTCAATAGGTTGGGCTGTAACACGTACTATGGTTTGTTAAAACTGTGATGTAATTGAAGAATTAAGTCACGTGGGTGGAGTACAAGAATCTATGTATGTTTCATGTCAATGCTAGGGTTTCTAGGCTTAAAAGCTTAATAAAAGAAAACTTCAACTCCTGTTATTACTACAGCTGAAAATTTCTATTCTAGGCTTGTACACTTGGGAGGGTTTTTTTTTTTTTTTTGTTAAAACATATGACAAATTCAGTAAATAGCAACTCGGGCCTTAATTTTGTACATCTGATTTTAAACTTACTGAATTTTGGGTAGAGGGTGATCTAAATGTTGTCCCTTTTTGCAATTGATTTGTCAACTCATAATAACCCTATTCTTCAGAAAATAAAATCCTGTTCTTATCTCACCCTCATTTGGTTAAAAAAAAAAAAAAATTATAGTAAAAGGATAGATTATAAACATTTTAAAATTGAGCTGTTTACAAAAGGCACACTGGTTTAAACCAGTAAACCGTTAAATTAAGGTGAACTATATAAATCAGCTAATTGGGCTACAAATAAAAACCCCACCCTTGTGGACGCTGTGACATGGCCCAAATCTGTCAGTTGTTCCCAGTTAGAGGTGCAAGGAGACCTCCTCCTCTAACAATGGATCATTGGCTTACTAAGGGTTCACCATTTATTTGTAGAATCCGGTATAGTCCGGAAGGGAAGGTAGCATAAGTAAGAGAACTTGGCAGAGGTCTAATTGGTAAATCTACCTTGGCAATCGATCAGCTTGGCTTTGGAGACATCTGCAGCCATTACTTCAGTATGAATTTTACAAATTCTTTGCTTTGCCAAAAAAAAAGTCAGATTACAATTGTTCTTCATAATCTGTTTTGTATAAATATTGTATGACACTAAAGAGAAGTCACTGTGATATCTTTATTTTATTTCTTTTGTACTTGTAGAGAGGAATATTTTGCAAATGGTACTGTGCTCTCCTGTAATATCCTTCATTTTCCAAATCACTACACCATTCGATGGAATAAATAATTTTTGTTCTTCTATATACAGATCAAACTTTAATTTTTATATGTATATATTTTTGACTTTTTGTTAAGATTATCTGTTTTATACAGGCTTGCTTCAGTTCAAATAATTATATCTTCCATGTAACTCTTTCTCCACCACAGATATGGTTATAAGTTGAGATATGTTCAGTTTCCAAAATGTGACGATTAGATTCCACTGTAACAGAACTCCTGGTTTTAGTAAATCATTGTCACAAGCTAATTTAAGAGCACAACCTATATATTAAAAAATATCATCTTTATTTGCAATCCAACACAAAAACATAAAACCCCAAGACACAAGATTAGTACACGTCTCAAATATCTGATATATGTATGTCAAAACGGATACAAAATAGCTAGTTATGCCATTCTATTGTAATTAATGTCCAGTAGAACAATGTTACAAAAAAAGGGTTTTAGCATATAAGCAAAAAATTGATTACATACCACTTCTACAAAGTATAACAGAGAGGAGAGACCACCAGTACCAACGTAGTAAAAGAATACCCCGATACAATGTAACAGCCAGAGGCAGGGGTCTCAGGCCAAAGTGTTCGGGGGCTCTCTTTGGTAACGGTGGTACATTTATATTTTTGGGAAATGGTATGTAACCCATTTTGTTGCTTATATGCTAAAACATTGTATTTTTAACATTGCGCTACTGGACATTAATTACAATGGAATGTTCTAACCTCAACATCTGATGAAAGGGATTTATGGGTAATTATTTCAGATGACTTAAAGGTCGGCAGACATTATAATAGAGCAGCAGGAAATGCTAGCAGAATGCTTGGTTGTATAGCAATAGAAAGAAAGAAGTGATTATGCCATTGTATCAAACAGTGGTAAGACCGCAATATAGTCACCAGAACAACTACAGCTTATTGTATTTATTCTGGTGAGTAGAATCATTACCTTCAGGCTTTTTACTGTAAACACTCTCTTTTCAGAGAAAATGCATTGTTTACATTACAGCCAAGTGATAACTCCACTGGTCACTCCTCAGATGGCTGCTAAAGCTGCTTCCTTGGGCAGTGCTGCACAGTGTGCAGTACTGCCATTCAGTGTTTCCACCCTCATAGAGATGGATTGATTCAATATCTCTCTATTAGGAGATGCTGATTAGCTGTGTTTGATTTGTGCTGGCTCTGCCCCTGATCTGCCTCCTTGACAGTTTCAGCCAATCCTATGGGAAAGCATTGTGATTGTCTCAAAGAATCACTTCTGATGATGTCCGCTGTAAGCAGCCAGGTCAGGGGCAGAGACAGCAGTTGCAGATTTGTATACAAGTAAGCTTTTACTATGTGTAGGGAGGCAAGGGATGCTAGAAATACGTTTGTGTTCCTGACCCTATAATGCTTCTTTAATTAAAGGTAATCAACAAAGCACAGGAGGAGAGTATAATTAAAAGAAAAACTACCACAACAAGAGGACCTATTGTTTTTAAACTTTTGTCCCTCTAATTAAAGACTATCAGGAAGTATCTTTACTGAGAGGGTAGTGGATGCATGGACTAGCCTTCCAGCTGAAGTGGTAGAGGTTAACATAGTAAAGGAGTTTAAGCATGCGTGGGATAGGCATAAGGCTAGGGACTAATTAAAGCGTTTAGAAAATTGGGCAGACTAGATGGGCCGCATGGTTCTTATCTGCTGTCACATTCTATACTTCTATGAATGGCTTAAATAACTTCCTTGTATCTGTTTTGACATATATATGTCTGGTATTTGAGATAGATATGAATCTTATGGGGGTTGTTTCGGTTTGGTTTTATATGTCTGTTGAATTGCAAATAATAATTTTTGAATATATAGGTTGTGCTTTTGACATATGTTGTGACACATAATTTTTGACCCTGACAGAACAGGGCATTCATAGTGAGCACCCTTACTTTGATTTGGGAGTTACCTGCAGTTTCTAACTTTAATCAGTGATCACAACTAAGGAGCCTATTTACTAAACAGAAAAATGTCAGCCAAAATAGCCAAATTGCCCTCCACTTGCTTGGTTTGTCTAAACTTTACACATCTGATTTTATATCGGGGGAATAAATGTTGAGACATTTCTATAAAATTCCTATATTCACAGTTACTGCTGGTAATACAATGTTTCATTATATAATAGATACCTTGGTTTATTTCTATAGATAGGGGACACAAATATAAATACTTTTTATAAAAGAACACTCCACTCAAAAAATGGGGTATACATGTTTGGCTACATGAAATCGTTTGGGGTATATCTAAAAAGAGCTGCAAAAGGTTCAGTTCTTATGACTGCAGCCTTTTAAGCTGCTCCCCTGTTTTCTGAAAAAACTTGCAATATCCCACAGAAAAAGTCTGGAGGAGGAGGAAAGAAACACCTTTACAAAGAGTAACTCTAACCAAACTCACTGTTTTATAAAAAGACAGATTTTTGGTTGTAGTAATTCTTTAAGCTTGGCTGAGTAGTGTCCCTTCCTTCTAATTTCTGTTTGCAGAAATGTATCCCTGTTTACTTGGCACCAGTCTCTGTACGAGGGTTACCTGTTAAACTATTTATGATACATTTACATATTATCATAGCAGCTCAGAATAGAAGGACCACAGGCTCCCCCATAGAGCAAGATACGTGTCAAACTGCTCACAATGGTTTGACCGAGAGCAGCTGTACAGAGCCTGGGACTCCTTGCACCATAACCAGCACACCACTCAATACTGGCTCCGGTGCTCAGTGTCCCCTTAAGGATGAAAGGCATATTTTACCCATCTCACAATCTGACCCCATAAGACCTTATGCCAGGATGGAATGTCTTGCATACTGACCATAGCAGTTTCTAAATACAGATCGCATTCCATTTTGAAAGTTGATGTTTAAAGTGACACAGTCACCTAATAATTTATTTATGGGAAATTATTTTAAGCAAAGCTAGCTATAGTAGGTTTATCTGAAATTAAGACTTGTGAATGTCTGATAGTTTACCAGTGTGGAGGTGGCCATTTTGGAATTGCATCAAACCTTCAGTGACTGTTCCTGATTTAAAGAAAACCTTCCATGAAACAGGTATTATTATTATGTTATTATTTATAGAGCGCCATCAAATTCCGCAGCGCTTTACAGTGGGTGGACGAACAGACATGTAGTTGTAACCCGACAAGTTGGACACAGGAACAGAGGGGTTGAGGGCCCTACTCAATGAGCCTACATGCTAGAGGGAGTGGGGTAAAATGACACAAAGGGTCTAAGCAGGGGTAATGAAATAGGTTGCTAGAAAAGTAATCATTGAGAACTTAGTAGGTTATTTTTGACAGTTGCAGGAGAGGAGTCATGGGGGGGATGAAAATCCGCTAACAGTTTGAAAACACACTTTTTTTCAGGAAAGCATATTATTTAAAGATTTTTTTGAATAAGAGGAGACTGGGTGAAAGTCTAACGGAGAAGGAAAGGGAGTTCCACAAAAAAGGTGCAGCCCTGGAGAAGTCTTGGAGGCGAGCATCAGATGTGGGATTACGGACAGAGGATTTAAAAAAAAAAAATTTATTGGCAAAAGGGGGTGGGATATCTATGACTAGGGAAAGAGACTTGATAAAATTAGGTATTCAGTATATTTTTTATAATACTATAAAAATGAGCCACAGTTCCAGGAATGGAGAGTGTGTGTATCACTCAAACACAATAAGCAGGGAGGGGCAGGATTGGGTAGTCGGTGGGGGAGAGAGCTTGGGGTACCTATCCCATGGGCAGAATAAAAGGTAAACATAAATGACAAAGTTATTACGTCATATAATTACACAATCACACAGTCCCTTTTGCTCTAGAATACACTGAAACGCACCAGGAACGCAATACTAGGCTGATGTGGATAGAGAGGTTTTGGTACGTTTATCTGGCCACTCTCCCCTACAGATGCCACTGTGTAAAGTAAACCAACACACCACGGGAAAAAAATGCCATGACCCCACAAACAACATTGCCAAAGAAAAATAGGTCTCCTAGAGGCATACGTTTCCAACAATAGGACCTAGCCTGGAATAATCATACCAAAACGACAGTCCCCAACTACTTAAATATTAAAGATTACATATATAATAAATGAAAGAGCTATGTATAGAACCTAAATAATAAATAAAAAAGTGTTAGAACCAAAATGTGTGACACTACAAGTATGGAAATATACTAAAAACAACATTAACACGTAGCCTACGTAATTATCGGACAATTCCTTACTTTTATACTACGACATCAGTGAAAAGGTGAATATGTTGATCAAATTTATAAAGTAAATATATAGAAACTATTCCAAAGTCGGAATAGTGAGCCCTGTAAAGCATAGATGTCAAACTCACAGGCCGCATGCGGCCCACAACTAATATGTTTGCGGCCCATGGGCTACGAGGGAGTGCTGAGTGTAAGCTCTCCCTGCTCACCTTCCCGCAGTGATGCCGGGAGCTGAAATATGACGTCCCTCCGGCTCCCGGCATCACTCTGTGGCATGCAAGGGAGCTGAGCAGCGAGAGCTTACACTCAGCGCTCCCTCGCGGTCTGTCTGCCCTCCTGCCTGCCTGAATGTGCACCTGCCCAACATCCCCACTAGACACCAGGTAAGAAATCCACCCAGCTCTCCCAAAGGTAGGGAGGCTGGGAGGAATAAATTAAAGTAATAAAAAAAAAAGTGTTGGGGGAAATGTGTGTGTGTGTGTGTGTTTGTCTGTCAGTGAGTCTGTGTGTGTATGTCAGTGTGTGTCTGTGAGGGAGCCTGTTTATCAGTGAATGTGTGTGTCTGTGAGTGCATGTGTGTATTGGAATGATTCTGTGTGTATGTCAGTGTGTGTGTGTCTCAGTGAATGTGAGTGAGAACAGGGGCAGGGGCTTAGTAGACGGGGGCACTAAGATTTAGTAGACGACAGGGGGGGGACTGGGATTTAGTAGATGAGGGGGGCGCTGTTATTATTATTTTTTTAATACTGTACTTTTCAAAATAAACCTACTTTTTATGAAAATTTACATTTTTTTTTTTTTTTGCGGCCCACATAAACTTAAAGGACCATTATAGTGCCAGGAAAACAAACCCGTTTCCTGGCACTATAGAGTCATTAGGTCCCCCCCACCCTCAGGGCCCCCGTGCCGCTGGGCTGAAGGGGTTAAAACCCTTCCAGTCACTTACTTTTCTCCAGAGCTGATCTCCCTTGGCGCTCGGGATCTCTCCGCCCCGATCCGCCTCTCAGCTCCGAATGCGAATGCGCGGCAAGCGCATTCAAACCACCCATAGGAAAGCATTACTCAATGGATGTCCAGCATCGTCTCACTGTTATTTTCACAGTGAGAATTGCGGAAGCGCCTCTAGCGGCTGTCACTGAGACAGCCACTAGAGGCTGGATTAACCCTTAGTGAAACATAGCAGTTTCTCTGAAACCGCTATGTTTTCAGCGGCAGGGTTAAAACTAGAGGAACCTGACACCCAGACCACTTCATTGAGCTGAAGTTGTCTGGGTGCCTATTGTGGTCCTTTAAACCTTGTTTATTAGGCCCTTGCTACCCTTTGGGTTTGACATGCTTGCTGTAAAGGCTAGTTACTTGTAACAGTAAATTGAAACGAAGATTCTACTAAAGGTGCTACATCCCAGATAACTTATTACTATTACAGAATACAGCAGTGGCAGTGATAGATGGGATCATCATCTGGTTTAAACATTGCTACTTAAACTCCTTACATATATAACAAAAAATAGCTTTGTAGATCACAAAACGTGTCAGATTAAAAGCCTAACAGCATTAAACAGCAGTTTTGATAAAAGAGAGAGGCAAAAGCTTAGTTGAAAGAGCCACGCAAGTTAAGGAATTTTTATTTTAACTTTTATTTTTTTTTGGCAGTTTAACCATGCAAATTGTTCAATTAAATTGTCAATGCTTTGGGGTTTATTTCACAATAGAAAACTGACAAAGGGAATCACAAATGCTAGTTACATTAGCTTAAACTGTGCAATTAAATTGTCATTTCTCTGTTTAGTGTATTGTCCCACTGGATCATGAATGACAATGACAGATCGCCCCCTGCTGTCAGATATGTTAATTGCTTTGCACTGTATACATTGGGGCTAATTCCCTAAACATTGAATTGCAGTGAACTAAAAACGTTAGGGGAAAAAAAGCAATTTTTGCTTGTTCTTTACCGTCATTGATCCGATTTACTTTTTACATTATTTAATTAACAGGCACAGAGGAGGGTATTTTGAAGGGCGGTAAATAAACTCCAGCTGTTGTGACTAACTGTCCAATCACTGTCACAATATCTTTAGTGCGTATCAGATATCAACGTTCTGCCCGGCATAAATAGAATTTAACTTCATATGGAAAGACATTTGTTGGGAAAAGAAAATGTATCTCAATGATCACTCTAAACCCAAGAAAACCAATTTGTTTTTTCCGTGGGCCGTCCTGGGTAATACAATATAAGCCTCGTCCCTGCTGTCCGCCTGGTGCCTAAGATGCCTAAAAATAAAACCAGTTGCACCTTGCTTTTGTGGATAGTAATTACTCTCGCCACTAACACAACATTTATGCATTTTGGAGCTTCTGGCCTGAATATTTATCTGTATTTTTTAGCATGCCCAAATCTGTGTTGTTTAAAAACAAAAACAAAGGAAAAATAAAAAATTAAATAAACTTTGTGTAACATTCTGCCATTTTTGTCTGTCTTTCCCAACTCCCCATGTCTAAACTACTTCCTTCTTACGCATAGCTCCCAACATTTCAAATGAACAAAGAGGGACAACTTAATTTTAGGGGTTTGAGTGGGAGTGGGGCCAGGGCAGGGCTGTTCTTTAAAATTTTAGGTAACGTACTAATAAAAGATTTTTAAAAACAAAAATGAAACTTGGAACAATAACAATGTATCTTATTTACACAGACTGATTTCTAAACACGTTTATTGCAGGTTAAAGACACATTAATGGGTCTATTATTTTTTTATACACACTCACCGACTAACAATATAAAGCTCCTGGAAAAAAGGACAAAAGGATAGGAAAAGGGGACGGATGGAATTGGGTCCACAAAAGGGACAGTCCCTCTTAAATAAGGACACTTGGTTGGTATGCTTACTGGGTACATGATGTACCAGTCTCTTTTCTGTCCTTCTTAACTTTGTTTATGTCATCAGGAAGCACAGCAAAGGTTTCATCTGGTCCACAGAGTTCAGGTCTCATGTTCACTCTTCGAGAAGAAAAAGGTCCAGGTACTCCAAAGCTCATCAAATTTCCTCAGTTTCAAAGGACCACAGAATGGGAGTCTTCTAGGTGATTTTGTTTGCAAACTCCAAGCAGGTTTTCATACATTTTTCAGTGCGAAGAGGCATCTGTCATAAAAGCTAGACTGGTGGAGTGTTGCAGTAATGGTTGTCCTTCTGGAAGTTTCCTCAATCTCCATTTATGACCTCTGGAGCTCAACCAGAGTGACCTTCACGCCCAATTGTTCAGTTCGGCTGGGCAGTCAGCTCTAGAAAGAGTCCTGGTTGTTCCATTTATGAATTATGGAGGCCACCATGCTCTTGGGAACCTTCAATGCAGCCAAATGTTTTTTTGAGTAGCCGTGCCCTGATCTGTGCCTCAACACAATCCTGTCTCTGTGTTCTGCCGGCAGTTCCATTGACCTCATGGCTTGTTTTTTACAGCTGTGAGACCTTGTATAGAAAGGTGTGTGCTTTTCCAAACATGTCCGATTGAATTGATTATCCACAGGTGGACTTTACTCAAAGTGTAGAAACATCTCAAAAGTGAGAGCTGGGATACATCTGAGCTAGACTTAAAATGTTACTTAAAGGGTCTGAATACTTGTATAGATGTGCCATTTCCATTTTTTTCTTTTTAATACATTTGCAAAGTTTTTTTAAAAATGTTTTTGCTTTGTTATGGATTATGGAATGTAGATTGATGTGAAAAGAAAATAATATAATCAATCGTAGCTAAGGCTGCAACATAACAAATGTTTGAAAACAAATTAAATAGATCTGACTGCACTGCATATATACATATACACTGTTGTCTTACTATCCCTATTTAAGTGGGATTTTGTGTCAGACCTCCCGTGCACAGAATAGAATTACATGTATCTTTAAACGCAGATGTATTATTTCCCCAAGACAAGGTGGATTTGACTATTTTGCTTTTATTAACGAAGTAGCAGTTAAACAAATTAAATAAATAAAACCAGTTTGGTATCTAAGCTGTAAATCACCGAATTCTTCTTATAACAAGGGGATCTTATATTTCCAGGTTCTCGGATGTCTGCACTGCTGATGTTCATATTCTAAGGAAGCAAACTATTACTTGTATAATTGGAATGTACATGATAACGTGTTCTAACTTGTGTGTGTGTTGTATGTGTGTGTTGCCCAGTAATTCCTAAAATTGTTTATTTTGAGGTATCTGAATGACAACGATTTATTGTTAGTGTTGACCACAACAGTACTCTGGGCCTGTATCATTCATTCTGAAGGTGTACTTGAGGAGTATTTGATATATTTGTCATTTAAACACCGAAGAGGTCTCATAAGCGAATGGGGAAAAGTGTCAGCTTTGGAGTGCCAATGTTTCCACAACCACCGGTGGCACCAACATTTCCACAATGTAATAAGACCTTCCTGAAAAATTCAAGGATCAACATGTGGAAAATGGACTTAAGTCAATCCACATAGGAGCACATTAAAACATATCCGTCTAGGAGCGTCTGCAGAGCCTTTGTCTGCAATAACAGAAGTAAGATAAATCCAATGTTGCTTCTGCAAGGGTAAAAACGCACACTTTGATGACGTACTTTATTGAATACCCAGAAAAAACAAACAAAAAAACCCCACAACAACTTGGCTATGGGGTGAGGGCATCGGGGTGTTAACTGTTTTTTTGCCCAATGCCTCTTGGGCATGAAACATATAAAATTACCCTGTGTATTTGCAACAATGGAAAAAATGAATAAACTATAAATTGAAAAAATAAATAAAATAAAAGTACCTGGTGCGTTTTTTCTTTCCCCCTAAGGATTAAAGGACCATGGTATCGTCAATGCTATTTTGTATATAATAATCTTTTCATTTAGTAGTAAATTAAATAGATTTGTAATGTAACTCGTTCTACCTGTAGTATATGACAGGCTCCTTCAGCCGTATACATACACCTTGATCGAGTTGTTTCAATATTTCTAATGGATTTTCACTAAGGAATGCAAGTTTTAGATGGTGCCAATTGAGGTGTGCATTGTCTTAATGGGACCAGCGCTATAAGAACTTTGCATGGTTGTATTGACGAATGTAACCTGCAGTCACTCTCCCAGTTCAAAGTGAAATTTAACTGTTTGCAGAATCGTTGCAAATAAAAACCTGCCCCTTGTCAAAAAGTCTTACACCCATAATGCTAGCAAAGCATCATGGGAGGTGTGGTCCAAAACATCTGGAGTACGGAAGGTTGCCTATGCCTGGCCTATTTCATAAAACTGTCAAGCAAACTATCTATAGACGGCTAGTACCAGGGACTGCTATCGTTTCCTGAGCAGTCTGGTCAGGTTAGAATCTTCCAGAAATTGACACTTCCTGTGCAAGTGTAGCATCTTGAAAAATCTATATTTTTTATTACTTTGGTATTTTTAACTGCACATTTATTTTGCATAGTTATCTCTTTAATAAATAAAACTATGTTTGGCTCCTTATGTCCCTTTAAATGGATTTAAATGATAGGAACTGTAGACTGTGAGTGATCAAACATGGGCCTTTGCTGCCAGTGTGAAGATGGAGAAAGAGGATGGGGCTTGTGACGAAAGGAGCAGAATTAGAAGCCACTCCCACTGCCTCATAAAACCGCCAGCCTTGCCAACCGTGGAATGTCTGAAGTAAAACCATGTGTTTTTTTTTTTTTTTTTACCAGTTCTAGTAATGGCCAATGTCTTTCACAGCCAACCACAACAAGAAATTGTAAAAGCTGGTCAGGACACCACAAATTATACGTAGGAAAGAAAACAGTCAGAGAAAAAAAAGATGCAAAGAAAAGTGTTTTTTTTTTTTCCTTTGTGTACACATTATACAATGTGAGTTGTACATATTGAGAGAAAAAACGTCAGACACTAATTAACGATAAAAATATATAATAACATCCATACAGGAACACAAATTCAAATATTGTAACAATACCTTTGAGGCAAGAACAACTTACACGCAGTACACCATGTAAAAAAAGATTTAGAGTAGGACACATAAAAAGAAAGGGGCCGTAGCATGATCGCGGGAAGAGGGTAGTTATGGTTTTAGGTGACAAATACATTTGGTAACATGGACAGAGAAATAAATGTCCAGATTTTCTTTCTAATTTTTTTTTTTTCCAACCAAGCTAATGACTTAAAAATAAAAAGTCCCCACTAAACAATGTTTTGGGGGTGACAGGTTTACCTCATGAAGATTTGGCGAATGCATTTTATTTTTTTTAAATTCTTATTATTTCACTTATTTAAATACTTTATACACCCATTATTATTATTATTATTTTTTACTACTTACAAAGTCAGTTTGAAATCAGTTTTTTTTCCTTATTATTAATGACCAAAAAGTTTTAAGTACAAGTGTGTCAACAAGATTTTTTATTTTCCTATGTAATTAATTTGAAAGTTTGACCTTTAACCCATGGTCCAGACTTTATGATACTGATTTCCAAATCACAAGACCATGTCTTACCACGATTTTGGCTGTTCCCTGTGCTTCCCAACACTAACAAATACAAATAGAAATTAACTGAATACGTACATTAAACAGTTCTCCATCAGTGACAGACAATCTTAAGAACTGGGCCAAATAGGCCAAAACGTAGCTCCTTAGCTGTTGTGAATACTTTGCCAGCCTTGGAAAAAATAGCTTTAAAACCGCTAGCCAACTACCTTTTGGTCACCCCTTATTTAACCCATCACTATATTATTTTATATATATTTATATATATATATACACAACAGAGCGTATAAGCTTAAATCATGGATTCTGAGGAACACTTTAATATAAAAAAGACAAAACTCAAAACATTTGATACATTTTCCCCCCCCTAAGCCAAGGGTAAAGGTTCTGCACAGTTTAACAATATTCGTGAAAACAGCCAGTAGAATGGGAATTTCAAACATAGCAGATCTGAAGATTAAAAAAAATAGCTCATTTGATGCTAGTTAATGTTATTTTTCCCCACTCCGCTACCTATGTTGTAATTTTCTCTAGACAAGCGATATATATATAAAAAAAATTAAATACAAAATAAACAACACAGACTCAACAAAACTATTTTATAACTTTACACTAAAGCATGTATAAGAATTCTAAAACCAGAAAACACTCAATATGACGTTAACAAGATACTTAATTTATTGATTGTACCCAGAATAGAATTTATTATTATTATTTTTAAATGTTGGCATTTAACCTAGAATTTTTTTTTTATTTTTTTATTTTTGCTTTTCGGAAGATTTGAAGTTGTCAAATTGTCTGTTTCATGCATTGAATAGTATACACTACAATACATAATTCAGACATCCAATACACAATCTCGTAGAATCTATTTTAGCAACACAGTTTGGACTCTACATTTCCCTTAATGCCCAGTTGTCCTTGCCATGGGTATGGCCCAGGATCATGGAAAATGTCCAGCAGATGTTGTGATGGTCAAACTAGCTATAGCTGGCAACATAAATTAGAAATAGTATTCCATTGCCTGCTGGCTGCTTCTTACAAGATGCAGATAGTCTGCTTCACTATTGTTGTAGCATTCGATTTGAGGGTGAGCCAAACGCAAAGGATCACTGTTTATAACCATATAAAGTCATGAATAACTTTGACTACATGAGCTGTAATTTCTAAAGTGGATTTGAGAGATGTGGCTTTGTATGAACGCCTTTTATTTCTGGGCTAACGTGAAACTTTTTCAGTAAGAAAGTAACAACGAAAGGAACATATTCTGCATTTTTATCTTCTTGGATAATTCCTATGCATAATGCATTTATTGTATTAAAGGTAAATGCTAAAAAATAAAGCTGTTTTACTAGACATTTTTGGAATTCCTTGCCACTGTAGATCTAATAATGATTTCAATATAGGACATTTTTTTATAGAAAATATGGCAAAATAAGCAATAAATGAGCTAGTTATTTAATTGAAGCCAAAGTAACTGGGGCTGCAGTAAAAGTAAAGAAACAAATGAAGAATTTAAATTGGGAAATAATTTAAAAAAAAAACATAATTACTATATGCGACAGCTGTTTTTCTACCATGATTGCAGAGTACAAGTGTGAGCTAGTTTGATGGTTTTAATCCAGTCCTGAACGAGACCCTTTTTGGTACTGTTTTAACATAGTTTGACTTACAATAAGTACCTGCTTGAACAGTGGTGGCTGGGAATAATTACAACCACAACTAAATAGGGTTTCTGTGAGGTCTGGCATGTGCACCATGTTTAACACAATCAAAAGATGACCTTGACTGACCCAATGTAGTCGACACATTCCTATAATCGTAAACCTATTACAGTCAGTCTGCCTCCCTTTTACTTGTGTGATTCTAAAATGTGCTTTAATGGTAGAATTGTCACCAAATTTCATAATGAAAGCTTAGCTACTGAACCACATAAAACAGAAAACCAGTCTTCCTAGTAACAGAGTGTCATGCAGTAAGGAACATCATCTAAAATGAAGTGATCAATAAATTCACAATGAAAGATCTCCTATAACAACCAAGTGCTTAAGGGACACTCCACGGCTCAAATACCCCCCAAAAAGTTTTCAAAATCAATATTTGGTAAGTATACCACCAATGAAAACATGCAGGCATTTATGTATGCATTTATTTATTGGGGCTATTTTTTCAAAACAGTTGAAAAAGTTGCAGTTCTCTTGTCTGTAGCCTTTTCAAGCCCTCCCCTTCTAGCCCCACCCAGACTTTCTGTGGCTGTCCAATTACAGACTTCCCAATGCAGCTCAATGAGATGTCTTTGCAAGGCAGCTGCTCTGGGCAAGTGCTGCCTCTTGCATTTAGCTCCACCGAGCTAACCAAACCAGGAAGTAACAGGACCTGTTGTCTGATTGACAGGCAAGGTGCATAACAAGGTTAATTTATAAAAGTGCAAAATTCTATTGAATTCTGCACTTTTTGTAATATTAAAATACGCACTTCACACATAAAGGTATTCAGCAAGTCAAAGTGCTTTAGGTGTTTGAAGTGTTCATTAATTGCCCTTGACAAGTGATTTATGAAGAAAAACAGTACATCTTCGCAAAAACTAAAGTTTCACTTCCAGTGATAACTGATAAAAAGCTGCACAAATAGCACAGTCCAGTTCTTGAGGCACACTGACGATATTACCCTCTTGCTCAAACTACCATTAAAATTCAGCTCTTAAAAAAATACACACTTTAATGTCCTGTTTATTGACATCAGCGTTATAAGCTGATATCTTGGTTAACCTTGTAGATAAGCACAGAGTAGATTCTGGACTAGATGGCTTATACTACATTTAATGGGACAAAAACGGAAGGCATGAAATGTCTAGCAACTTCCAAGCACTTTCGTTAAGGAGATCTAATAATGGCAGAATGATTGATACATCACTAATGAAAAAAGTTAACAGTGAGAAAGAAAAAATGATCAGGCTCCTCTTAATGATCTTATAAGGGGGGGGGGAGGGGGGGGGTTTATAACATGTCCCCCATACTGTAGAGTTCTTTCCAAATTTAATTTTTGGGAGTTATTCCCTAAACTGGAATTATAAAAAAAAATAATTAATTATAGTAAATTGGAAATAACTCCCCCCCCCCAAAAAAACAGGACATTATAAATACTACTTTTTGCCTTTAGCACCAACAGTAATTTAATAAACAA